AAAAAATACATGGATAAAAGTTACAGTGCAGTTTAAGATGTGAATAGTTCAATTAAAAGCAGCGGCAAAAAGAAAAGTCTTCAGCCTGGATTTAAAAGTAGTCAGAGTTGCAGCGGACCTGCAGGTTTCTGGGAGTTTGTTCCAGATATTTGGAGCATAATAACTGAAGATTAGAGAAGATCAGTTAATCAACTAAATCATTTTAAAGGGAATTTATAAAATAATAATCCAAGCAAGTGTGACTGCCGGCTTGTTTATCTTCCATATGAATCTATCAAATGTAGTTTTAACAAATGAATTGTTATCAGAAAATACCCAAAGTTGCTGAATTGAATGCTGTTATTTTGAAGTGACTTATCGATGTTATCTGATCACAAAAAGGTGTTTAATCCGTCACCTGAAAGTGTGAGCACGCCCACAGTTTCTTTATCTAAACACGCGTGTAAAAGCATTGGTTGCATGTCGGATTTCAAGTAGAAATTTCCTTGAAGTCACCTTCAGCTATTTTTCTAGAAATGATGTCGACCTGCCACACTCTGATTAAAGTCTCTGTGCATTTAACACAGCTAGATGAACAGGTCCCTTTAGTGCGAAGGGTTGAGAAAATAAAGACGGTGAAAATGATCGACTGATAAGGGCTGCCGGCTGTCAGATGATTCAATCTGTCTTTACTTCATTTTGTTAAATGATTTTCCTTGGTTTTTATTTGGTTCGTCAAGTTGTTGGAACCCCTTCAATGCAATATTGGTTGTTATAATTATTTAAAAAATCGATTTAGTCCAAAAAAATACTGTAGAGCAGGGGTGTCAAACTCAAGGCCCGGGGGCCAAATCCGGCCCGCCGCTTCATTTTCTGTGGCCCCACAATATTTCTGAAAGAATATAATATGTTTATTATACGGTTACATGGCGATTTACAGAAGCACGTTGCCCATAAACTATATGTCCCACAATGCATCTCAAATTTGACTTTTTTCTCAGAATTTGACTTTTTTTCTTCAAAATATGCCTTTTTTCTTAGAATTTTCCCCTTTTTTTGTCACTTTTTTTTCTCCAGAATTTGGCTTTTCTTTTTAAATCATTTTGTGTTATTCTCACTGAGACTTGCAATGACTTGCCTTAGACTTCTGCTTTCAGACGTTGTTATTACCCTATTAGATAATAATCCACTGCAGAGGCTATCATGTAATATAATGCATTATTTTATATAAAATATTTATACATGTATTTTGATATAGTCTTAAAGTTACAACCGGCCCTTTGAGTGCAACCATAATTCCTACGTGGCCCGTGATGAAATTGAGTTTGACACCCCTGCTGTAGAGTAATGAGAAGTGAAGATGAAAGCCAGTCAGCTGCAGCCAAATGAACCTGTTGAACCAGACTATTCAAAAAACACTTAAAAGGCTGACACTGAACACATTGCTGCCTGATTGAAGTTATTTGAGACTCCTTAAAAAATCCAAATGCATTTAAAAACGGAGTCCTAAGAGATCCTTTTGAAAAACTATGAAGCAACTGCTAAAAAGTGGATACATGTAAGTGTCTGATACCTCCTCACGCATGTTAAATATCCTCATACTATACGCATGATAAAAGCTGTCCACTAAAACACACATGGTTGTTTAAAACGTAGACCAATACAAGGTGTTATATTGGGTGTTTCCCCCACACTTATCATACATTGTCATATATATTTTGGTTTGTACTAAAATCTAAGAGGATGTTTTTAAAACCTCCTTCTTAAACAAAGGTATTTTCAAAAGTTGTGCACACCTCACCCTCTCAAAGGTTTTTAAGGTGGGTGGAACAGCAGGTCGAGCGTTACAATGCGAGACATGTAAATGTGCCAGGTGTAAAACAATAACGTATGAAGAGGAGGAGAAGGATGAGACACAATATATAGCAACACCTCCTGTCGTATTAAAGTCATTTTAGTTTATATAAACAAACAAGCAAATTAATTGTTATTTTAACAGATCGGAATAAACAAGACAAGCTTCCTCCCCATACTGTACAAGTTAGAACATATCTACAAACAGTCAGATGTGTTTTAAATCTATTAATAATAAATATTTCTTAAAAGCCAACATACCCCGGCTGCAGCGACTCTTCTGCTTCTACGCAGTGAGGGTGTTTAGTTCGTCTGAGCTCCTCTTACTCAAAGGGGGCTTGTGAATAGGTTGTCTACACGATGGTGACACATCCTTGACCTTTAAGAGCTAATAACAAAATCATCTTTTACCAGCAACGACCACACTTGCAGCGAATTGTTGTTTTGGAAATTGATCATTTTATGGGAAAAGTAAAGCAGCGGCAGAGCAGTGGGAGTATGAGACGACTGTTAGCTTGAACCACAGCAGCAGGGGAATAACAGCTGAGGGGCTGAGAGGATATTAAAGGCCATGAAACTGCCGGGTACCAAAACATCAAACTCCAATTGGAAAGTTATGTTTTAAAATCAAAGATCCAGCGTGTTAACAACACCTACTCTTCCAAAATGACTGCTTCGTGCAGCTAAAGCACTCTCTCGCTGCTTGGTGATGAATTACTGAAATATGTTTCTTATTACATGAAGGTCTTCCGATCTTTGTTTCTGCACAGCTGTTGAAGTATTTAGTTAGTAACTTTATCGTCCACAATGTTGAATATCTGGTTGATTGAAATGTTAAATAAACAGTAAATAAAAAGAATATTGTAGGAGCACAGAAACAGTGTTCAAATTCTGCTTTTACCGACTTATTTTGGTTGTGCGTAGCTTGCTCTTCCCCGATATCAACATGAATTAAAGAGGCCCTAATATGCTTTTGGGGGTTTTCCCTTTCACTGTAGTGTTTTATATTAGGTTTTAGTGTATGTAAATGGTCTGCAAAGGCTAACATCCCAAAAGTTCCCTCCACAGTGAGTTTCTCTCCCACGCCCCCCCTATTGCCCTATTACTTGTAAAGCGACCTTGGGTCCCTTGAAAGGCGCTATATAAATCCAAGCTATTATTATTATAGTGACATCACTATGGAACAGCTGCACTTCTATTGGCTAGCTCTGCAACACATTGTACGTGATAGGCTAAGGGGCTCAATCACACTTCTATCGGCTAGCTAGCTGCTCCTAGTTCTAGACTCCTGGTACTAGGATGGGTTAAAAGCAGAGGACACATTTCACTGTGTGCTCTGCATGTGAGACCATTAAAGAGGGTCTCATCCCTCCCAATTCTATTCTTCTAAATCCTAGCGCTCCAACACATACGTGATAGGCTAAGGGGCGGGACATCTCTAAGAGGTTGAGTAACTTTATCTTTAAAAATTGTCTTTGTTTTCCCCGATATCAACATGAATGAAAAGGGCCCTATTCTGCTTTTTGGGGTTTTCCCTATTTCACTGAAGTATTTTATATTAGGGTTTTATATTAGGGTCTGCAAAGGCTAACATCCCAAAAGTGAGTTTCTCTCCCCCCCCCCCCCCCCTGCCTGAAATGCCTCTATTGGAGAGTGACATCACTATGTAACAATCACACTTCTATTGGCTAGCGCTCCAACACATTGTACGTGAAAGGCTAAGGGGCGGGACAATTGTTGACCAATCACAACAGAGCCGGCCAGCTAACCAATCAGAGCCTCTGGTTTCAGACAGAAGGTGAAAACAGAACAAATAAAGAGCTTGTTGAACATGGAGACATGTCACAGTAGAGGCACCACACACACATATGAACCTGAAAATGAGCAGAATAGGACCCCTTTAAATACAGTTAGGGTTGCATCATCATAATTCGTTACGGTGCATATTTGTATTTGTTTGTGTCCACTCTGAGTTTCAGCTCTTTCTGTTTCACCTGCTGTACTTTGAACTCTCGGAAGGTGGATGGCTCTGAGTCAGAGAGGCTAACATAAAATGAGTTTTGGAAATACTGGACTTTTGATTTGGCTCATCTCAAGCAATATTAAGTCTCAGCTCGTCAGATGAAAAATATAAGGAATCCATATAAACCCGAAGACTTTGCGAGTCTTGCATGCTCAGATATATCTCTAAGTAGGGAGGATTTGAGAAACAAGTTATTTTGGAAATCTACAATGCTTGCATTTTTATTTGTTTTTCGGAATATATATAAAAAAACACTTTAGCCAACGCTTTTCATATTTTCCACTCGATGTTCTTCCACTTTAAAAAAACAGTTGTCAGAACTTTCATAATCAGTGGAAAGCATCCTCAAAATAATAGACAGCCGTCAGACGGAAAAACACGTCACTACAATATCCTGTTTATTTACAAAAGTATGGTGTTTGCAGTATCGCTGTATAGGAGTGATCAGAATACTTCATTTATCCTGAAGGGGGGTATTGGGTTTTATTAAGGTTGCTCCATTCCAGAATAAAAGAAAAGAAACAATATGCATATAAACATGATAAATTAAAAGCAAAAAGGTGCAAAACAACTAATAAAATGGAATTAGAATATGTATATAAACATAGGAGTTTAGAGTTAACACAACTAAAGTCTGTCTTAACAAAGACTAAATCAATATTTAATGTCAAATAATATGTCAAAATGTGCATGATAAAATACACAGTGGTGAATTCGAGTTAGATATTGCAGCCTAACTCTTGTCTGTATTGCTCGGTTTAAAAGAGAGCCAGCGTATTCACTCAAAGCAAATAAAGTACAAGTCTTCTTCTGTAGATTATAATTATCAGCAGGAGCGCTTTCCTATAACGCGATCACATTAGAGACTTTGTTCAGTAACAGAACAACTGAAGTGAGAGTGACTTTAGTTAGAGTTACTCATCCCAAGTCTAGTTTGTCATTTCTGTCTACAGTAAAATAATCGAAGCTAGTCGACACAAGCTGAGTCACACAACTTTCACTGTCTGTTCCCCGAGGTCTGTCTGTCTGTAAATGCAGACAATATGAATCTGAGGGAGGTTCAATTTAAACACAACACTGACGAAATGAACATTATGAAATACATTTGATTGTCTTGCATTGTAGAAAAAGCTGTGCAAAGATACAGTATGTTAAAATATTTATTCACAAACTACACAAATCTGTCCCGATAAAAAGAGCTTCTGTAAAAAGTGTTTTAGACTCAAAAGTGAATCTCAGAGGAAGGCCGTAAGACGCTCAGTAAAGATTGGTCTTCTTCATTATCTTCATGAAATCCATCTCGTTGATCTCACCGTCACCATCCTGGTCTGCCTCGTCGATCATTTCCTAAAAAGGAAGAAATAAAGTCTGAAAAGGTACGCTTGATGCATCACATGACGGAGCGAGCACTCACTGCGACTGACAGTGTGACCTCTCAGTCTCAGAGCCCACGCTCCTCAGAAATAGCCTAAAGCTGCTATTTTGATATAACGTGTGAGAACAGAAGGGGAACTACGTCTTAGCTGTAAAGATCTGTGTGATGTAAAGCTAATGAATGAAAGTGAAGAGGAACGTTATGCAGTGAAATCAGCTCTTACTTCGTGATACATCCTATAGAGAGGCGGGGGGGGACCTCCAAGGGACCTTATTTCGTTTGAATTGTGCCACTCATATGATGTTTGTCAATTTAAAAGATAATTTTGCAAGTCAAATAAATAGAAATGTGAAGTAACACTTGTTTTGTGTATTCAAAGAGGTGAAAATCACTCCAAGTCTGGGCACGTTGAGAGCTGTACATACACACAAGGGGAGTTAGTCGGTTCCGTAAGAGCCAGCATGCGGGACCCGGATTTGTAGTCTTTCTAGTTGCGTATTTTCCATAATTTTATATTTCAACAGTTTTACGACAAACTGACTTTTTTTGACATGGAAATAATTTTTTAAGATCGACAAACATCATATGTGTAATTCGTGGCACAATTCAAACGGGATCGAAAGATACGTTTTCTCTCCCCATTGACTTCAATACATACTTTTTCCAAAATAAGGTCCCGTGGGCCGGAAGTAGATGGGCGGGACTTCGCCTCTCTATACATTTAGTGCTTTAAGGCAGAGTTTTGATTAGGAGGCTCCAGCTTAGTAAAGGGAAGGGAAACTCATTCATTAGTTGTAACGTATTGAATTGATTTATTTAAAACTAGGGACAGTGTGTACATTAATCAACATGTACAAGTACTCGAATTAGCCAAAAGGCTAGATTTCACCGATAGTCCCTTTGCCAGATGGTGATAGGCATCCTAAAAGCAAGAATTAAAATACCACAACATTGTTATACCAAAAAAAAAAAAAAATAGGCGACATCACTGAATACAGATAAGAGGAAGTCATGATAATAAATAAAACATTCACACTACGCACTCATACTAACACCTACACCCACACATCAGTGCTGACACTTGATTATTAATGAGCCACTTTTTAACACTGCTTGAATGTGTAGTAGGATGAGGACTCTCTTATTGGTTGTGGTATTGAATTCCATTGATGGGATGCGTGGAATGAAAAGACAGCCTGACTAAATGCACTTTTCCTAAATGGGATGGTGCGGTCTCCCCTAGCCGCACCTCTAGTAGTCCTGGTTGAGGTGGGCTTTAGGCTGATGAAGCCAGCCAGAGGAGGAGGAGCCAACCCACGAGTGAGCAGACATTTTTGTAAACTATGAGATTTTCCCAGATGAACAGAGTATACTTTTTTAACAATGTGACAATGATGATACCGAATGGCTTTTTGTCTAGTGTTTTGAGTGCTTGTTTGCAGAGTGTGCATTAGACCAGCTGATCAGACAGTAGTTGATGTGGGAGAGGACCATCGAGTGAAGGTATAGCTTAGCTGCTGCGGTTAATAGGAAGTTTCTAATGTATCTGAAATGTGACGTGAGAATTGCAAAACAAACTATTAATACAAATATAATATAAATATAAATATAATATAATATGCAGGAATCCTGAAGTCAAATGTAATACCTTTCAAGACCTTTTTTAAGACCCTTTCCTTACATTTTAAGACCTCATTGCCACTTGGAGTTTTAACCGGTTACCTTGGCGACACACTTTAACTAAATGTAATACCTTGGAAAATGCCGTTTAATACTTTTTAAGACCCCGCGGACACCCTGACAAAGGTTATAACTTACTTAAATACATACAAACCTAACTGTCTAAAGAAAGAAAGAAGGGCTTTGAGTGCTTCAGTACAACACATCTTCTTGAAGGGGCATGTTTATGTGGATTGACTACCAAAAACATTATACATAGTAAAAAATAAAAATACAATACCTGTAATTCCTCATCTGTGAGGTTTTCACCCAGCTCTTTGGCAACTCTCTTGAGATTTTTGAATGAGATTTTTCCTGTGCCGTCGTCGTCAAACAGCCGGAAAGCCTTCAAAATTTCTTCTTTGGAGTCTTTTTCATTCTATTATCATGAAAACATAATGGTGATTAATATTTTACAGCGTCGATTCAAGCCGTTTCCCATTTACTGGAACTGGCAACCAAATGTCATCAAAACAACACCTATTAATAACTTTTTTGAAATCTAGACACTTGTTATGACACATTTTCATTTCTAAGAATGTTCCCAGGATATTAGGCAGGTGTGTTACACTCACCATTTTTACTGTCATCATAGTGAGAAAGTCATTGAAGTCAATTGTTCCAGAGCCCTCTTTATCAATGTCTGCGATCATGGTCTTGATCTCTTCTTTCTTTGGTTCAAAGCCCAGCGCTCTCATGGCAACCTGTGGAACAGAAACAGGGGAAATCTGAGGCGGCCGTGTCCCCATTATCAGGGGATTTGTTCATCAACACGTACGCTTTCTGCCGGTGGTAGATAGTAACAAAGTGCATCTACTCCTCAAGTACTGTACTTAAAGGTGGGGTAGGTAATTCACTTCAGAAACTCTTTGTTATATTCTAGGGATGGGAATTTGAAGGCAAATGTATATTCGACCCCCCAAAAAAACGGTTAACCGAAATGTACATATCCTATAAAAAAAAAAAAATGGGGGAAACATTTTTACAAAAAAATAAATAAATACATGTTCAAATAAGTATAGAAACCAAGTCCAATTTGTCAAATGTATTTAACTGGTGATCACAGTTGACAGCTATAGGCCTACAGCTTTCATGCTTAAAACATAACTTGGTTTTCTGATGGATTTGAACATAAACGTGAGTGAAGTATAACCGGACGAGAGAGAGAGACCAGCACCTGCAGCTCTGCCCGCTGTGAGGGACCGGTGAGCGGAGCAAAACACACCTTTAGACCCAACACATTTAGCTATGGCACTGTCGTATACATTGAATTATTCCATTTGATCATATGTAATCAACTTAGGCACCCCTCCCAAAAAAATAAAAATTACAATAAACATATTCATAACTCATTCTCATATTTGAATACCTGAATAATTTCGAATATTCAAATATTCGATTAATTGTTCCCATCTCTATTATATTCCATGGAATGCTCTTAACATCCCGATAGCAATAAATACATTAAACAATGTCATCTGTGGAAGCCGTGGCGCTGTAAAAAGCACGACCAATCATCTGAGCCGGGCCGGCTAAAGTAACTGGATGGCCTACCTGCCTGTCAGCCTTCCATCTGGGCACAAACTCATCTCGTGCCCTCATTGGTCATGTGCGTGTTCGTGTGTGTTGGAGGAGGGGCTCTGTGAGGAAGTCTGAAGGAAGGGGCAGATTTTTTCCAGCTGCGTACTTTCAAATTCTAGCACACTCGAGCGGGTTTCTCCATTCTTACCTACCCTACCTTTAAGTAAAACATGTAAGTATTTTCACATTATGCAACTCTACTATATTTTGTAAATCAATGTTGTACTTTTTACTCTACGACATTATTTTACAGTTTTAGTTACCTATTACTTTGCAGCTTAAGAACAGTAGTATTATTACAAAATACATACATTATTATATAATATCATAGGTTAAGCTACCCTGTAGTATATGAAGTAATTCAAATAACCGCGACACAAGTGCAACATTGAAGTGGTGAAAACATTAATGCAATAATTATAATAGAATAGCTCAAATATAAGTGGCTTAAAGGGCCCATTCTGCAAAATGTGTACTCTTACTTTTGGTACTTAAAGTATATTTTGATGCCAATACTTTTGTACTTTTAAGTACAATTTTGAATGTAGGACTTTTACTTCTAATTGAGTTTTTTAACACTGTAGCATTGCTACTTATAGTTAAGTTAATAATCCTAGTTCTTCTATCTCTGCATCCAGACATACACGTCCTGCCATCTCCATTAGACCAGGAACCCACCTTCAGCTCTTTCACATCTATTGTTCCAGTGCCATCTGTGTCGAAGAGGTCGAAAGCTTCTTTAATTTCTTGCTTTTGCTCCTCGTTCAGTTCCATTTTGGGAACTGCCTTTTTCCGTGGACCAGACGAAGAGGTTGGTTTTCGGTAACTTGAAGCCTAAGAAGAAAAAACACACATTGAGAGGTGGTTGCTTCTTTGTATAAGATAGTAACTAGTTGTGTAAAGTTTACTCAAGTGCTGTTCTTACAGTAAAGTAAGTTGTATGTTACTTTGTACTTCGAATCTACTACAATTCAAAGGCAAATATTGTACTTTTACTCCACTACATTAACGTAGTACTTTTAGTTACTTTGCTTTTATAATAATAAAAAAGCATAATCAAATACAACTTTAGTTAGTAGAAATTCACAAGCTACCCTGCAGAAAATAAATACATAACACATGATTTCCACCTTCACCAGCTAGATACACACATTAACACATCAATAATTATAATCAACACATATAATATGATTCTGAAATGGACCAATCTGCTAAATGAGTACTTTTTGGTACCAACTGTATTTTGATGCCAACACTTTTGTACTTTTACTTGAGTGACATTGATTGCAGGACTTTTACTTGTAACAGAGTATTCCCACACTTCTACTTTTGCTCAAGTACAAGATCTGAGTACCTCTTCCACCACTGATAGTAACTAATTCTGCAGGAGCAGCAGAAAGAGCCCTAAGTAGTGTGTGTTGCTATCATGCTAGTTAGCTAACTTTAGCTTCCATGAGGCTAACCAACAAACACGGTTGAACGGCTTTATATCACTGTCTGTCAGCATTTCAGGGTAACTCCCGACATTTTCTGAAAATTAAATACATTGTACCAAACATGTATATGAAAACATACCATTTAAATGAATGTTTCAGCCGGGAAAGTCGAAAAAGTTGTGTATGATAACCGGATGTCAACAAAGCAGGCACGCAGCAACGGTCTTATGTTGAATGACATGTGAGATAGCCAATAGAAACCATTATAGCAGCGTGACGTAATTAAAATAGCCAATTGCAAACGGTAATAGGCGGGATTTTACAGTGTCCTCCAATGGTTGAGACCGTTTCTTGTCGCCTGGCAACCATGAAACCTTACGCATGCGCAGTGCTTAATCTTTTCCCCCGGAGCAGCTGGTCAGTGGGAACAGAAACAACTATCATATGTCATTAAATTAAGGTAAAAATACTCTTTATAGATGAAGCTTGTTTTGCTAAATCTTCATGTGCAGACATATGTAGTTTTGGTTCGTTTTTGGCAGTGTTAATTTAGAAGTTACGTATTGTTTTCGAAGTAAAGTATTAGCTTGTTAGCTCAGCATGCAAGCTTCTGCCTGTCTTGCAGGTTTGTTGTAGAAATAAGCTACCTTAATGCACACTTAATAGCTAGTCCTGCATTCAAAATGTTAAAGTTCACCAAGTATTACCAGCTAAGTTTATCTTAAGTATCTAACATAATGCAGGATAACATGTGTTTTGTATGCATATTATATTATTGCTCTATTCACACTTCTAAAGTGACTGCTGCTTCATTTAATATATAATGATGCACCATATTGTATAAGCTTATCATATGTTTAGTATACTAATATTATAACTTTTCAGGTTACTTGTTACAAGAGTTAGGGTTAGATGCCAGATATAGGCTTAGTTGAGTATAATATTCCCCACTGAAATGTAATTAAGTAAAGTATAAAGTACTATAGCATATAGTGCCATGCCTCAAACGTATGCTAATATAAAATAAACTGTACTTAGTTACCTTCCACTACATATTAATGTTAGTAAGACTTAACACATGCAATGGTAACCAAACTCAATACAATACTTTTAGTTTGTAATCAATATTTATTTTCCTTTTACAATTCAGACACCTCAAGTAATGCTTGGAAGCACCATTATAAACCACCGACAACATGTTGGACTTCAGAAGCTCGCAGCGCTGGCAGGAATCACACACTCCTCTTTGGGCCCCAATAAAAAGTACAAGTTCATCCAGGATGAAGCGAGCGGGGAGTCAGCTCTGGTGTGCTCCTGTTTTCGCATCTTTGAGAATCTGGAGCTGAGCTGTGCCGTGGGTCAGCTGGTTCACGAGACTATCCAGGCCCACCAGAAGGTCTATCACACAGGGTCGGGATGCCTGCTGTTTCTCGCAGGAGCGTGGAGTCGTGCTGCTCTGGAGTGCCTTCAGAGAGGGATTCCAGTCCCTCACATCATCTCTGCTTTGTCTGAAGGGATGGATATATGCGTCGATGTTTGCAGGAAAAGCAGCGTCTCCACTGAGGGTCTCGATGTTGAGCCATCTGAGAGCTTCAATGCGAAATCACATGCTTTAGGATTTCTACTGTCAAAGAAACCCAATGTAGAAGCTTCCCAAGCATCACACAACCTGCAAGAGACATCAACAGTTGGTCTTAAGACTCTAAATGGCAGTAGACAAAGACAAATAAAACTCAGCAGACATTTTTACGAGGCCAGATCAGAAAATGTCTCAACAGTAACGCAACCTGATCACCCTAAGCTCCCTGACATTGCACACATCGCAAAGGGATTGAGTCATGGTTGTGTCGATGCGATGAATTTAGTAGTAGAAGCTAGCCGAGTACAGTCAAAAAATCATCCAGGAAACATCAGCTGTTCCACATTTGATGTTACTAAAGTGATGACTTGTGTGCTTCCTGGTTTACCAGAGGAGCATGCATGTGTTTTACCAGGCTGCGTCGTTCTTGTATCTGATGAACAGGCTTCAGTTGCACATCACTTAAAAGAACAGTCCTTAAGAGTTGCTCTAATTAATGGAGATCTATCAGACACCTATCGCCATCTTGGCTTTAAAAAGCTAACAGGTGTACAGTGCGTGAGCGACCAGTCCGAATTTACAAGTTCAAGCAAAGACAAAGAGTGGATGGAAAAGATCGTGGCTCTTCTGTTGAACCTGGGAGTGAACCTGATACTTGTCAGCGGGCTGGTTCGTGAGGAAGTGATTCAGCGCTGTTGTAGACACCATATACTTGCGGTGGAAAAAGTGAAGGCTTCCGTTTTGAGAGCCTTTGCTAAAGCAACGGGAGCTGTTCCGGTGACATACGCCACACAGTTGAGTAGGCACTGTGTCGGTGTTGGTGTTAAGGCTGAAATATGGAGGGACCTCAGCAGCTATGATGGGAAACCTTTAATTACTGTGAATATTTCCACTGTAGAAAACAGCGAGTTGGTCACAGTGATTCTCTCAAGCTGCGTACATGGCAAGCTGCAGGCCATGGAGGACCGGTTCTGGGCCTGTGCTTATCGTTTACACCACATGCTGGAAGACAAAGTCCTCCTGCCTGGTGCTGGAGTGACTGAAATGCTTTGTGTTCACCACCTTCAAAGGGAAGCAGAGAAGCATGTCAAGCATCACAGAGAGAGGAACAGGGACTCAGCCGCTAACCCTTACAGAGGCGAAGTGTTGAACCTCATTGCAGATGGTTTATTAGATTACATATCCACCGTAATGGTTAACACCGGAAGGTTCTCAAAAGTCAAAGCCATGACGGCAGCACGCCAACAACTGCAGAACAATAACGAAAGTCTTGATGCAAAGTTCTCACAGCTTTCCTTGGAAGGTGAAGAGGAGGATAGTGGAGTTTCATTACTGATTCAATCAAGCAAAGCACCCGCAGTACAGATCTATGATAATCTGAGTGTGAAGCAGGAAGCATGGAGGAAAGCTCTAGATCTGGTCGTCCTGGTCTTGCAGACTGACGCGGAGGTCATCACAGGCATTGACCAAACATCTGATGATACACAAGAAAAGCTGATGCTGTTGTGATTTCATTTTGAAGGATTGGCTGTTCTTCACATCTGATTGTTTTTGATCCCAAATTGGAAATATATATGTATTTAACTTGTTTGTAAAGGTATTTTTGTATGACTGGTACAAAGGAAAAGTCCAATAAAGTGTTTTCATATTCTTTATTTTCTTGTCATCAATAAATAGTCAAAGAACAACATTTAAAAAAAAGACTTCACATGTACTACCACTTGGGGGAGACAAATTATTATATGACACTTGAGTTTATCTGACTCTTTAATCCAGACTGAGAAAGAGATTCTGAATTGTGAAAATCATGGATATTCCTAATTCATGCATGTTCACGAAAGCACTTACTTCTTTAATGATTTGAATCCTGACCTCTAGGTATTCGGAAGAAATTGGAGAACAGCATCTTGAAATAAAAAACAAAACAGATATGAAGTACGGTCAGTAGTTATTAGATATGTCAGATTTCTCAATTTCTTTCACAGGAAATACAATACAAGTCAGTTTATATGGATTATCAACCAGGCCTGAATACGCTTACATTACATGACTGTGAACACACCTTTTGTCTTCATGGTTAGTTCCCAAAAGAAATAGTGCATGTCCAACACAACCATATCATTTCCCCCTCTCACCGGTGTGTTTTTAGTGTTGTTACCGTTCCCTTATGATTTTTGCTAACACTTCACTATGTTCCTACTGCTTGGCTAACACTGCTCACCTCATACCCTGAGACTGTGGAGGTTTAATGACCTGCTCTGTCATAATAGTAATGTTTGTTGCAGAAGGAACAGCTCCAGACAGTCAATGTTTTTGGTTGAGTCTTATTAGGTCATTTCCTTGAACGAAGTGCAATAATGTTATTATTTTTTTTTAAATGTATTCTAGAAACCATCAATGTACCTTCCTAAAAGATCATTGGAAGGTCACAGGAATATTACAATCCTTGGCACTTGATGCCTGGCTTACGTTGATTCACCCGTGATTCAAGGCTTATTTCACAATCAGATTCACAACACTTTATTTTTCTAAGGGAACATTTTTCATGACAGTTGCTCCATTTTTGAAGGAAATAAAAAAAAAATAACGAAAAATAAATATGTAAAATATTTATAAAAACGTGAGGATGTAAAAAAAAAAAAAAGTAAAATACTGTTAGTTATATTAGCACAAGAAGTTAAAGTAAATTGTGCAATAAAAAGATACATTTAAATACAAATATTTATTCACACATAATAAGTTGGTGTCAGAATGCACAAAAAAGATAAAATACAAATATTCATATGGATGAAAGCGTCTAACAAGTGACATGTAATATGAAACGAGAACATATCAAATACAATAAAAATAATAAGTTATAAACAAACTTATTCCACAGAAGAAATGTCTACTAATTGGAACATTTAAAAAACCATGAAAAAACTAAGATCATTCACGTAAAAGACAATCACTCTCTCGGTTACCTTTGGACTCTTTCCTATTATGCCCGTTGTATTTCAAAGCTGTCAGCTAAAGCGACACGTGAGACCTTCCATTTCCTCTGAGTGTCTAATTGCAATCTAAAAATAGTTCAGTGTATTACAACGTTTGCAAATGCTTTACGGTGGAACCATAACAACCTTGACTCAGGCATTGCTCAGCAGGGGTGAAGTCTGACACATCTGAGAATTCAGGCTTTCACATTACTGGCTGCTGCAAGCTTCATATGCATGGAGAAAAACCTGGACTGATGCATGCAAAAATCATAGATTACCTAAATGAAGTTTACAAGGTGTGTACGATGATCCAGTTTAATTTCATATATGCAAGATGAGACCATTGGGTACCTTATTCATTGACGAACAATTACTATTCCAAGATTTTGAAAGGAACTTAAGGCAAGTTTTATTTTGATGTGCTACATGGGGTATGGAGGTATTGGTATTCACAAATTATAATTTTAAAGTAGTTTTCCTGCACCAGAATGCCAGAGGAACTCGTAGGTCATTTTTGTTTGAGAACAGGTGCCAATCCGATACAAGAATGTGTCATGCATGTATTTTTAGAAATAAATAACTGGCAAACCAAAATTAAGGATGGAGAGTTTCTCGATTGATACAGTCCCAGGAAAAGGCTCCTAAGGATGTCCGATACACATCTGAGATATTTTCTGTTTGGACTCCTATTTGGACTTAGTCCTTACAAATATCCAAGTTTTAGTCACTCGATTGTCCTGACAGGATGTCAGATGTTTTACTGACTGTTGTAGTAAATGTATCATTACTGTAAGTCTCATTTAATTATAACTTCCTTCTCTGCTTTGATTTTCCCGCGGTTTGAATTCACATCTAGCTTCTAATTCTCACTTCCTTAGAACAGACAGTCTCTTCGACCATTGGTTTGTAATTAACATGTATGCACGTTTCAACCCATCTGGCCAACACTTCCTGTAATGTAGATTGCCTCGCTGAGACCTTCCCCTTTCCTTGCTTTTGAGTGTATAAAGTGTTTGTATTTTCTGTTGTATGTTGTCAGTTCTTGTGCAAACTTGTGTGCAAAGACTCTGTCCTTTCAGCTGAAATAGATTAACTCTGATGCTTTGACTTTTATTGACTTTATTAAATAACAAAACTTTGCTTTAAACTTCTATGATTTGTTCACAGGTTGTTTTTGTGTGGAATTTCCTCCACACTGACCAGTTGAACCAACAGCACAGCTGACTTTCACCCATCCACGAGTTCAGATGTGGTTACCATTACCCAGAAGGCCTGACCAGTGATTGTTTTGGCAAATGGATGGTCCTAAAATCAAATAATTCCCGTCACTAACTCTCAACTACTTCTGGGTAAGTTCAGATTGGACGCAGGCTTGCTCATCGGAGTCTCCTGGCAACTCTCCTCCACATTGTTGTTTTGCACCTATGAATAGACCTTATTCAACTCTCAGGCTGCATGAATGGAAACACTGGTTCGGTTCACATGCTGCTCTTGGCGCTCAGAAGGGTCTCAGTGGCACAGTCCAAGTTGCACGTCCCCCCCCTCCTTGCCCTCATCTCCTTTCACGACTCCTGGGTTGGTTGGTAAGAAAAGTGAGCCTTTAGTGGGCGTGAGCGAGTGTGTGTTGGTGCTCCTAGGGCGCATGCGAACTGAGGCCCGAAGGGGAAAGCCTTGCACACAGATCTAAGCCAGCTGCCCTGATTTAAACACTTCATTGCAAGAAGAGTGGAAGCGAAGGGGGAATCTGCATGCAATCCCCCCCCCTACCAGTGTGCTCAAAGTACACTGGCAAAGCAGCTGCCCGATCTACAAGCTACACATTCGGACGCTTGCAAGTAAAGGCATTAAGGAGTCTTTCTGTCTCACATTCTCAGGTCTCAAACGGCACTGGTTGTCCTGAGAGGGGGGTCCTTTAGGCAAACTGACCTCTGGGGTTAACCTGAACCAGTGTTTGTGAAGCTCTGTGGAGGAGGGGAGGAGGGAACAGTTAGTGGGAGGCCACAGTGGGGCTCCTGAGCTGCTCAAGAAGGAGACGAAGCAGTCGCCGGGAAGCAAGGCAAGAGGAGGATATGGCCACGGGAGAAATCACAACACTTCCCTCCACACCTGATGACGGAGGCAGCGGCGGCTTTCCTCCCGGGAGCTTCAAGGACCCCAAAAGGCTGTACTGCAAGAACGGGGGCTTCTTCTTGAGGATAAAGCCTGAAGGGGGTGTGGATGGAATCCGGGAGAAGACCGACCCCCACAGTAAGTACTTCCACTCCCTCTTCGTCTTTGCTCTGCACCGCACACAAAGCTTCTTTATGCCCTTTTTTAATTTGCAACAAGGAAGTCAAATCATCATGGAGGAACGATGTGAGTTTTCCAACTTGCTGAGGTTTACTCTCCACTTGTAAACACTAAAGCATGTGTAGGCCTACGAATGGAAAGTTTAATAACCGCAGACCTTAATCAAAGGGAACTTTAATGGAAAATGCAGGATGTTTTTAGTAAATGTAGATCCCCAGGTTGAGTCAAAGCCATTTACACTGCTTACTGTGGAGTTTACGTCACTCAGAACAGCACAACATGGAGTTACAAGCCGTAATTAGTCATTTCCTGATCTACAGCTCCCTGTCAGTGTTTGACGTCAATGAACTAATATCTAAAAATTATACTGTGAAAACTCAATAATAATTACAACCCCCAATCACTCTTAGTTTTCACTCACTTCTAAATTGAGAGAAGTTTTAACTTTTATAAAGTTCTCCTTGATTGAAATTGAAACAATCTGTGCTCCTGTATCACTGATAATTTTTGGGTTGCATCAGTAAGTGGGAGGGGAGGAGATGGGACGTTAAAGAAAAAGGTTTTTCCGAGGAAAACATGTTTAGAAGTGCATTGCCCAAGACACATTGTGACCTTTCAAACAAATGCCATATCTGAAACCAGCTCAAGGACACATGCACTATTTTTAGAATAATTGAATTACATTCAGTGACACTTTCTGTTTTTCTGGATAGCAAATGATCAGTATCAAAGTGTAAGTAATCCCCAATGAGTCACACAACAGGAGTCAGTATTAATCATTTGGCTTTTCCCAGCAATGCTTTTTTACAGTTAAGCAGAGCTGACTTTCATCAATGCTCCTATTGTTAGGGAGGTGATTGACCCGCCAACTTTTGGATAGCATAACATACCTTCCAATACAAATTGGTAATGTTAGTGAGAAATGGATTCAATTCAATTCATTTTAGTCACAAACAGTTAAGAAGGGAAATGGGACACCCCAATAAGCAATCCAAAGCTTTAGATAGGGGCACAGGCACTAAATACATAGAAACATTAACAAGTTAAATTACATTTATTGTAACACTAAACAAATCCCCTAAAAACGGAGCTAATCTTTCACTACCTTATCAATGGTCCCACCACATTAATTTCATCAGGCTTGACATAAGATATAATAAGCAGACACATTACAGAATATAATAATGGAACAAATTAAATAAGACATATTCTGCCTATTTTCAGGTCCATATTTGTATTTTGTGTCTCTACTGTGACATGTTTCCATGCTTTAATGTTCAAAAAGCTCGGACGGATACATATTCAAGTAGGAGTTATGTGCCATACAGTATAGACTGGACTCTTGTCCATCATGTGTTCTTCCCATGTCAAAGTTTTGTGAGAGAATTATTCCACATGTACAGTAGACCCACATTGTACATAGACTGTACGATACGATACGATAATACTTGGTACTATTATCATTGGTCAGATCAAGTCTGAAATTTGACTTGCATCACAGCAGCTCCATGTCCAACACCAACATAGAAAACATATCCAGACACAATACATGAAACACAAACAACGAACATTTAACATAACATCACAATCGCTGAGAGAAAACATTTTCATGACCCTTTATTATTATTACTATTACATTGCATTTAGCTGACGCTTTTATCCAAAGCGACTTACAATAAGTGCATTCGACCAGGAAGACACAACCTTGAAGAAAACAGAATCATATAAGTACATCAGGTTTCATAGAGCCAAACATTTCAAGTGCTACTCAACTGGCTATAGATAAGCCAGTCCTTTATTAGTATATAAGTGCTTTGTTAATAAATCTATCGCTCGAAGTGGAGTCGAAAGAGATGAGTTTTCAGTCTGCGCCGGAAGATGTGCAAGCTATCTGCTGTCCTGATGTCAATGGGGAGCTCATTCCACCATCTTGGAGCCAGGATAGCAAACCCACGTGTTTTTGCTGATGGGAACTTGGGTCCCCCCTTTAGCGTGCATTTAACTGTCACAATTAAAGGGGAGGTTTTTTCTGTATTCACATTAATGGGACGTAATATTCCTAGAAACACTAAACACACGGCAGCACACTCGCACTAATTATTCATTTTCTTCTGGGAAGAACACCTCTTCTTTGATCTGAGACATTAATTATCCAGGCAGCAAGCTTAACTGTAGACAGATGCGCATCTATGTGAAGTCTTAATGTGGAATAATTCTGGACAGACCTTCTCATTTACCTTATGGGGCCCCTGCTTCCTTTTTTTGCAAAGTATGCTGTGTTGGCGAGCATTCTCTTTAAAGAAATGTGGAGATGATTTTGATACGTGTGCGAGGCAACAGGTACTCTGCTAAGTCTGCTTTAAGTGACTCGTACTGCTACTTTAAAGGTTGAAATTAATTTTGCATACTACTTGTGTTTATGGTGGTTCAGCTGCACGAAAAAAAAACATTGGATTGTATCAAATGAAGAAGGAACTTAGGAGAATTGCAAATGAGTTGCTGGTTATCAAAATGAATGATCGGCTAGCTTAATTTAGGTTCTTTAGCCTATTATTTTTGCTTTCCCATCTGATTTACTGTCTCCAATAGAAACAGAGCTCAAATGAAAGTTACTATTGGAAATGTGTTTATCAGGAAAACACAGACTGGACAAACAATGTCTGCAGGAATGTATTTGCTAACTTCTACATAGCCTTGACAACTTTGTAATTTGGTGATATGGTGTGTCAATGAGTGATCAGCTTGTCACTGTTTCACTGCCACCTTACATGAACTAATGCAGATTTAGGTTCATTATCTATCTTTGTTATTTATTTCATGTGCTATCTAGCTAGTCACAGATCTTTCCTCAAATTCAACTGTGCCCTGCAAGATGTTAGAACAGGTTGTCTTTAAGGCCTTACTTGTTACTCTCACTTGTTACTCGTGTTTACTCCTGTAGAAAACATGACATATTGAAATGCCTCACATTGCATCCTTGATTTGACATGTTTTGCGAGTTGCTGTCTCTGTGGTAACCATAAACATCAATAGGATTTGGTTTTGGATTTTTATAAAATTGCTGCACAGCCCTTACTCGTATCCCTTTAATTAAACATCCCACAAGCAAACTACTAAATATGTCTGTATTTGTTCAAACTAAATGTGTTTCTTCCTCAGTAAAACTTCAACTCCAGGCGACCTCAGTGGGCGAAGTGGTCATCAAAGGAGTGTGTGCGAATCGCTATCTGGCCATGAACAGAGATGGACGACTGTTTGGAGCGGTGAGTGAGCTACACCAACATCCTACTGAACTAAAAACTAAATTGTTTCCTTTCTGTAAAGTGTGCTGGGATTATGTCCCTATAAATCATCAAATGGTATTTCTCTGTATGGGGATTAAAACGACTTGCAGAGATGGCAAAAGTACCAACATCCTTTACTCAATTATGCCCCGGCCACACGAGGACGAAAACGGCTAAACGCATAGGATTAACGCAAACGCAATCGCAAAAAAGCTTCCGTCCACACGCAATATTCAGCGGATAGTGTCTGTCCACACGAGACCGCTCCGTTTAGCTCCAACCGCTGGAGAAGCTGCAGTACATATGCCGAGCCTGTACGTGGCGCTGTAACTTCCTCCACAAAAGCAGCGAAGAAGCATGGTTGTCATGGTTGCCCTTCTGTTTATTCTCCGCGGTGGGGGCCGAGGGAAGCGGGCAGAGTTTTTCGCCAGTCAACGTGTATTAAAGTTTAAACCTTCCGACAAAATTATAAAAGTGCCGGTCAAAGGTCTTCTTTGTTATTTATTGAGCTTTAAAACAAATGAATAACGACTCTATATAATATAATAATAAAATACACGGAGCCTCTCTTTTTCCTCCCTCTCTTCGGACAGCGTCAGTGTCTGTCTAATGCAGCAGCTGATCCAGTAATGAGTAGGGTTGGGAACCGAAACTCGGTTCCAGATGAGAACCGATAAGAAAATGCCGGGTACCGGGTACCCATACAAAATACACAATTTCGGTTCTGCTTAACGGTTCCTAAACGCGGTAGACCCTGTATTCCAGCGGGTCCGTCTGCACCGCGGTGCTGCGGTGACCCGGTGGAATACAGGGCGGACCTGGAGAATCACAGAACGGCCGGTCGTCAGCGGGCCGTTGACGGCCGGCTCGGTATGCTGACGGCCGGCACCGCCCTTCATTTTTTTAAACGGCATCATATAAATTGCGCTGACAGGCGACAGAGGTCCACAGTTGCCCCGCAGCGATGCTCCCCCGGCCTCCCGTAGACATTTCACGAGCTCAGTCACTTCATAACACCAAAGATAGGTCGCGGTAAACACTCTAAAGTGAGGCTCCACTACACTAAAAAAGAAAAAGAAAAGGCAAAGTGTAATGCCTGTTAATAGCTTGCCACAGGCATAGCTCAGTTAAAATAAAGCACAGCTATTGTGCAATACATTTGTATTGCATGTATATTTTTTAGTAACAATTTCAGTTAAAGCTTTTAAGAATAAATATATTTTTGTTATCTAAACGTTTGACCTCTTTATTTTACAATTTTGGAATCGAAACGGGGGATCGATAAGAACCGGAATCGATAAGCAGAACCGGAATCGAAATCGGAATCGATAAATTTCAAACGATACCCATCCCTAGTAATGAGTGACCCGGCCGACAGTAAAAATAAACATATTTATAACTAGTTTAGGTAGTTTGAGAGGTGTCTCCATCCTGTCGGATTAGACTTCACTCGCGTTTATGTCCATATCGAGAGAAAGATAAATAATCTGAATTCAGTGTGCAGTTTACTTTGACGCGGGGGTGAGCAGCAGAGGTGGGGAGAGGCGGGTCTATTGCCTCATCATTATCAGAAAGTGATCGTATAGGGCGTACACACGGAGCCGTTGGACCCCCCAGAGCGTTGCGTATGCCGTTCTATCCACCTTGGGACCTGTTATCGTTTCCGCAGTCGTTTAGTGCCGTATTCGGTCGTCCTTGTGTGGCCGAACGGTCTATATGACACTAAACAGTAACGCAAACGACTGTTTTCGTCCTGTGGCCGGGGCATTAGAAGTGCGATACTCAAAAATACTCTGGTAGAAGTAGGCTACTGACTAAACTTCTTTACTTAAGTAAAAGTAAAGAAGTATGGGCTTTGAAATGTACTTAAGTAAAAAGTACCCATAACTACCAACTGTTTTAAAGAGTAACTGACCTCCCTTTATATTAAAAGAACAATAACGGTACGTCCACACAGCAGCTTTTCAAAAATCTTGGAGCTGGGCATGTCTGAAAGCTTGGGGATTTTTTGCGAGCAACGCAACCAACAACCAATCACATGAATCTCCCGCCCCCGACATACAAAGCAAAAAACCCCGGGGATTTTATGCGAGCAATATATAGGTGGTACTTTCCTGGGGAGGAAAATGTTCCAATTTCTGATTGGCTGGGCAAATTGCAAACCACGCCCCATTTTGTGAAGCCGCCATTTTATTTGCTCGCATTAGCATTATTAGCATTAGTCCAGCGCACCAACGGAGAGAGACTAATTTATGGCAACACAAAATAAAACGTGGGCACGGTGGAGTGTTGGCGCTTCTGGCGATTTACCCGGGACTTCGGGTGGCAGTATACGCCGTGAAGTTACTGGCCTGCCAGTAAACCCAAAGCAGAAGAAGTAACGTCAGCGGCTTCATTTGCGTAATCCTCCCTCAGGGACTTATTCCGGTGTGAACGCAATCTACTAGATAGTTCCGGATCTAAAGAGTTCCGGGGAACTAAGTTCCGGCAACTATTCCTGGGAACAGTACTTGGTGTGAAAGCGCCTAATGACTCTAAATAATAATGATCACGCCACCAAACACATTACATTGCATTTAGCTGACGCTTTTATCCAAAGCGACTTACAATAAGTACATTCGACCAGGAAGACACAACCTTGAAGAAAACAGAATCATATAAGTACATCAGGTTTTATAGAGCCAAACATTTCAAGTGCTACTCAACTGGCTTTAGGTAAGCCAGTCCTTTATTAGTATATAAGTGCTTTGTTAGCAGTTCTTTGTTAGTAATTCTATCGCTCGAGGTGGAGTCGAAAGAGATGAGTTTTCAGTCTGCGCCGGAAGATGTGCAGGCTTTCTGCTATCCTGAAACACAGATTAAAACTAAAGTAACAAGCTTGTTTTGAAAATGCAAGAAGTAGAAAGTACATGTATTTGTGTTAAAAATGTAAGAAGTAAAAGTAAAAAGTCGTCAGAAAAATAAGTAGTGAAGTAAAGTACTGATACCAAATTTGTTTACTTAAGTACAGTAACGAAGTATTTGTACTCCACTACTTCCCAACTCTGACGATTTGTGATCTAAAGGCAACCATTTGTACCATCAGTCCTTTTGACATATTAAACACCCACAGTAAATGTCTTCTGCCTTCGTCACATGCAGCATTTAGACTGCTGTGTTATGGAAAGTAACAACAAGTACTTAACAGCCACCCGACAAGAAATCCTCCCTCGCAGGAAATAATTAAGTTGACACACGTTTGTCATAGTCAGCACTCAGCATAAAAAAAGTTTGTCAAAACATTAAATAGACCCTGGGCCAATGATCAGAATGTGGGTTCAAGTGCAGTTTTTTAAACGTTTTAAAGTGTTTTCTTGGCATTAACATTGCCTTGGCCAACAACATCATGTCACTGATCATGGTAACGCTAGCAAGTTTGAGTTTGAGTGCTTACGTCTTAAATCACATTATGTTACATGACTTGGGATTCGATTTTGTACCCACAAAGTCCAAAAAGGCAAATAAACAAATACATGATGTGCAAGACCTTAATTTGGATCTGCTGAACAAACACAATACTTCTATTCAAATACCCACTTCAGTTAGAAGGTATGACACTATGATAATTAAAATGATTGCAACTGGGTTAATGGTTGATGTTACTCCATTAATGTTCAACTTCTTCGTGAAAAATCAGGCTCATTAAAGTAGAAAATAGGACGCAGACTTCTCCAAAAGTCTAGTTGCTGCTGGTGTGTTTGTGGAAGAATGTGACCTCTAATATTTGCAGGATTAAGTGTGCATTTTTTAGGATCTCCACGGGCAACCTGACAGCCAGGGGGGGGTTTGGGAAGGCATGGGGACTTAGCAGAACTTAGTCTGAGAGACGAGACACAGAAACACAGATACGTTTAAGGAGCTGCATCCAACAATTGACTGGGTAAATTGGGAATGGATTTTATTCTGATAATGACATTTGTGAATGAGAGGAGTTTCAAAAGCATGGTAAAAAAGAAAAGATGGATAGGTTTGACAATTATAAAGGAATACTTGGAAAAACAAAGAAACTCATCAGCAAAATAAAAACGTTAGAGAGAAGATGCTACTTTTGAAAAAGCTTGAGTTTAAGGTAAATGCAGTCTGCTATTTTATTGACCAGACATACAGTAGCTCACTAAGTAACACAGCCCTAAATAGGAAGACATGACTGGTGGCAGAAAATCATTTGAAGTATTTTTTTCTTTGAAATGTAAACGTTTCAATTAAACTCACAGATTGTCGAACTGACCAGAAGTAAAACTAACTGATCAAACATCTTACATAAGCAAAAGAAGAATTAGAAACGTAATATTTTGTATTTTGTTTAATTACTTGCCGTACTGTCAAACTAAATGGATCTGAAGGATGTCCTGACTGCATGAGAAGCAGTCAACCTTCTGAACGGCTGCTGGTCTGCTGCCACAGAGTTGTTGCTCACAGCGGGTGGCAGTGGAAGTGTGAAGTTTGAAGTGTGTGTGACTGATGTGGTTCGGTGGTTGTGAAGACTTGTCCACAGGCCATGTAATTGGCAAGAAGCATTTCCTCCCTAATGAGAAGCTCCAGCAGCTGCCACCCAGTTCTCTGTCCTGCTTTGACTCGGTCGTAGAAAAACATTTAAAACCCAGACAAATATTAACTCTCTTATTATTACCATTTGTGGTGAAAACAATTTGAATATTGAAATGACAGTTTTTACCCTCTAATTTAGCACCTTGACGGGTATGATGCACATGTTTTAGTTGTATACTATTTATTAAAATGTTCTTTGTTGATATAATTGACGACTGACACATTAGTCAAACAAGACATTTGTTCTGCCTATAGGATTTGTACAAGATTAACTAATTTTCTATATTTTTTCACACCATTAACCTTAAAATGTTTTAATAAATACACTTGCATCATGTATGTATGATAGTAAATGTAAAATAGAAATGTCTTGAGCGTTTGATAACAAATAAACTCAAAAAATAAATAACTGAATAAATGAATAGTTCAATAAAAAACAGAAACAAAAAAGATTATCTAATATAATAGATTATGACATTTCTTTGGTTTTCCAATTGAAATAAAACTCCGCAAAATGTTTATTCGAAGCTGTAACTTTGTATAATTAATTGTTCCCTGGGTGGTTGTTGCCGTTGAAAGAAAAATGTCCTCTGACTAATAGCTGTAGAGTCACAGTCAAATAAAAAGAAACGTAAAAACAAAAGTCTCTTGTTGAGCAGGGTGTTGGGCAGCTAACGCCCAGCGAGACAGAACGATTTTGGCCAGACGTTCAGTAATTCATGTTTTCTAGAAGGTTCAAGGAGCGGATATTGTGAGCACTTGTGATGGATATGGTTAATAACATACCAGCCAAGAGAGATAAATAATTTAGATTGAACAATTTGTCTAAGCCAGGGGTTCCCAAACGTTGCCATGCCAAGGACCCCATATAGCATTATCCTCTGGCGGGGACCCCCCTGTTGCAATTTTTTTTTAAATGATGTGTACAAGTGCCTCCCGATGGAACATGCCGTGCGTTGCCAATACATTTGGGGCCTTCTGCCTGATAAAAGCTGTCACTCCGCTTTTTTTGCCTGTCATAGCCCCACTGCCCCATCTGAACACACACCCACACAACGAGACCAGTCAAGTCCATTTGAGATGATGTACTCATCTAAAACTTGGAAAATGTCTCTTCATGTGGTCCTACCTTCCAGTGCTTTGCAAAATAATATTTTCTCAACAAAGTTGTCTTCTGAAATAAATCTGATGTATGCTAGCAATTCTGCGACATTTGCTACATCCGTGCTCATCCAGCTGCAGAGCGAAATATTCACTATCTCTCACTTGCTCCAAAAGCTGGGCAGATACTCAGCTCGATTCTGATTGGCTTGAAGGGCGGTCGTGTGATTCAAAAACAAACAATATTAAAAGATTGGCATCAAAGGACACATAGATTGATAGATATGCAGTTATTAATAACATCTTAAAAAAAAAATTAAACTTCAAAAAAAAAAAAATCCCGTTTCCCTCAAACCTTGCGTGACCCCCCTGGTGCCCCCTGGCGGCCCCCCGGGGGGTCGGGGCCCCCACTTTGAAAAACACTGGTCTAAGCCATCTTTATTTGTTCACTTTTTGATATGTTCTCAGTTTGTTTAAATCATTATTGTTTAACATTTCAAGCCGTTCACCTACAATGAACAATATTAGATGTTTGATTTGAACATAGACACTGAATTAAGCTGTAATAATGGCCCTGGTCAGCGTATTTTCCTGCAAATATCTTTACTCTATTGGTTTGAAACACTTGCAGCTCACAGAATATATAAGAAACCAACAGTCTTCTTCAAAACAAAGGTGACATTAAGCGCTTGGTGTTTTATGCACTTTAATATCAGAACATTTCAGCATAACACATATTCTCCCTGTCCAACAATATATATACTACACAAATTCAATCAAATGTTATCCAAACAAAATAACCTGTTTGATAAAAGTGGTATAATAGAAAGAGAGGGGTTCAAGCGGTTTGGAAAGTAACATTTATATTAATCATACAGACAGTATGACCTAACTTCAGTTTCCATTTGTTGAAATAATAAAGACTAGTTTCACAGTATTTTTCCTCCGTTTGCAAGGACATTTGAGTGTATTGCAATGGGAAGTTGTCCCAAAAGCAAAAAGGTGTAGATTTAATCCTAGCTAACTCCTTAAATAGCACTTAATTTCCGTCGACTGAACATCAAATGAAAGTGATTTCTCTGTGTCTTCTCTCCAGAGACGAGCGACAGATGAATGCTACTTCTTGGAGCGGCTCGAGAGCAACAACTACAACACGTACCGCTCCAGGAAGTACCCCGACATGTACGTGGCACTGAAGAGAACCGGCCAGTACAAGCCCGGGAGCAAAACTAGCCGAGGTCAAAAGGCCATCCTGTTTCTTCCAATGGCTGCCAAGGCTAGAAGAAGATGTGACGGCAATGAAGACAAGGTGGCTCCATCGACATTGCCCCAAAACAGCTGTGATGCTTTCTGACTGTTGTATCCTGAACATGTCTGCTCTTAGTCAGCTTTTACTTTCAAACTGTGGCCACATTCACACCTAGCTGCTTCACAGTAAAACAATGTAGACCTGCTAACTGCTGCAGTAATGCAACTGAAACCAGGTACCTTGCTGAATTGTACCATAGAGTATGGCAGTGTTCATTTTGGCTAAACAGATCTTCTTTGACTTAAAGCAACAACCCTTTCCTACTGTTCAGCTCCTGCAGTCTAAACGTAGCTATAAGATGAAGGTATAGGGTCCATATATACTGTTAAAACAAGAACATACATTCAAATCATACACCATTATAACCTGATAAGAGATTAGGGACTGAACTAAATAACTACATTTTAGGATTTTGTAGTTTGTCAAAAAAACTAAGCACACTAAACCAACCCAAATCAAAGCCCAAGCACTACTTTTATCGTGTCATTTTACACAACTCAGAATATTCACACTCAGAATATTCACACTCACACACACAGAAACTGAACAGGTTTCCTGAGCTTGTTTTTGTTTCCCTTCTGTATTGCCAAATTCCCACGAGGACAATGGTTTTAAATGATGTCTAGTTCAATGACAGAAAGGCAGTTAACTTCAACAACAAATATTATTGTGAGTTACTTGACCAGTCAGTAATTGCATTAAGGCAGCCAATATTGATAATGCAACACCTAACCTTATGTTAGCTGTTTTCAGCTGACACTGGTAGTTAGATCGTTAGCAAGACCTGCTACAAGTTAAAAACACAGCAACCTTTAAAAATAGTGCCTTTGACAAATTAAATTAGCTGCTTGGGGCCACTTTCTCCCTATAAGGCTACCAAACAAGTGTTATAAATATGAACCGTATAAAATGGTGGTTCAGGTATAGAGTGGCGCAGTGATGACATATGTATGTAGTCCAACCTGGAAGTTAGCATGGCAAGGGCTCAACACAAAAATAATCGGGATTTATTCAGGATAATATTCACATATTAACATCATTGTTTTAATAGTTTAATGCAATCGCCAGAAGTAAAAAAGCTAACGTTGGGCTATCAAGGAACTTCATAACTGTCACGTGACTTCACGTCAACAGGGCTAAGCTAAATGCGGCTAATGTGTGACGCGATGGCGTTTAATTTAGTGATTTAGAGTCGCAACTATTGCTTTTATGACACATAGAAGCTTGAGACATTCACCACTGGGGTATTTACTGATTGTTGTATAACTAAACGTGAACATCTCATAAGCTTAAGTCCTTGTATCCCAAACCAGATGAAGGAACCCCAAAATGCTAACTCCTCAATGCTAACTCCTCAATGCTAATATCCAGGTTTAGGACTCATTCTTGCACCACTCTATTGTTCCAAATATTTGTTTGTGAACAGACACACTGCAAACATCCTTCCAGTAATAAATACACTTTAAATGAGTAATACTGACAGCTATGTGTCAACATAACCCCATCGGGTTGCTAGGATTTCAGTGTGGAAGGAAGCTGCCGGTGATACAGCTGGTAAAACTTCCCAGAGTAGACGGCAGGAATCACCTCCATGGAGAGGTCGATGTTGTGGAAGCCGCTCTCCAGGCCGTGGAGCAGTAGCTGGGCGACACGAGCGGTGATGGGGGTGGTGTGCTCGGTCTTAGCTAGCTCTGCAAGCTGGAGCCACTCGCAGCGCAGACATTCTTGAGTGCAGAAGTTAATGTCATAGGTGAGAGGGCTGAGTCGGCAGATGATGTACATGTCCGACATGTCGAAGGCGCCGGGGTGGTGGTGCTGCTGCCTGATGCTGAGCAGAGATCTGAACTCTGAGCGAACGCCAGTTTCCTCGAACACTTCCCTGACCGCAGTAGTACCTGAGAAAGATTAATTAAAGGTCACCTATTATGCAAAATCCACTTTTTCATGTCTCTTATGCATCAACATGTGTCCCCTCTTCTTCATGTCTCTTCTACATCAACATGTGTCCCCTCTTCTTCATGTCTCTTCTACATCAACATGTGTCCCCTCTTCTTCATGTCTCTTCTACATCAACATGTGTCCCCTCTTCTTCATGTCTCTTCTACATCAACATGTGTCCCCTCTGTGTAAAGAGACTCTGAAAGTTTCAGGAACAAAGATTCTCTCTCTTTTTGTCCTGATCCATTTCTATAAAAACCTGTCTGAAAATGAGCTGATCAGATTTTGGCCACTTTATGATGGCATAACGATGTTTTTGCTTGAGTAACCATTAGCCAATCACCAACCAAGGTAACCCCCCCCCCCCCCCCCTTATGACCTGAATCTCCTCCTAGAGCACCATTGAGTTCTTTTGAACCAAATCTCTCTCAGAGGGGCGTGGGGAGGGGCTCCTTATTTTTCATCTAAAGTAACAGACAGAGAATCAGCACTTTGGAAACAGGGCTGAAACAGAGGGGATTATGGGTAATGCTGCAATGATCTGTTTGGTGTTTGTAACCAAACACTTCAGAGACATGTTTTGTATTTATCTGAGACCTATAATAAAGTAATGAAAAACAGTATAATAGGACACATTTAAAATATTACTAAATGTACATGGAGGAATTGTAAACATCTTGACTTAAAGGAATATATTCACGTTCCCTTGTCAGAGTCATCTGATGTTAAGATGTGGGGGAAAAGGGAAAATATATATATTTTTTGTAAAGACAAACACTGCTTTTTGTGTTGGGTCATGTATATAATACCAAAGCTGCTTTAGAGGTGAATTTGGAGAAACAGATATAAATATTTGCATATATATATATATATCATGTGCCTTGTTTTGTACGGTTCAAATGAATGTATCATCTAAAATCGAAGGCTTTAGCTGTAGATGTACTGTATTAGTTTTGTGACACTCACCAATATTTTCTGCTAGATCAGACAAGCCGCCGGGGAACTTCCAAGCATTCATTGTCTGAAATACAGAAATAAAAATCAACATCATGATAGAAGGCACTGCTGTAAATGTATATTAGAGTCATATCTGTATCTTGTTTTGTGTTAAACTTCTTCTGGTGCCGTCCAGTTTAAAGTCACTTGTTTCCTGCAAGTGTTCAATGGCACCACGTTTTTCTTTGTTATATAAAATCACAGCAAGTAGCGGACTTTGTGAAAGTATCTTCGTATGTATCTAAACTAATAATGATACATCTAGAGAGATGTTTAATAAGAGCATCCTTTCATTTTATGTTTTATATTTAGTGCCTCACTCTGGAGGCTTTTACATTTGCTGCGGTGAAGTGTGTCTTCAAAAGCTGTTTCACCATTTACCCTCGATATTTAATAACAGTATGCTGCTGGTTAAGTTATGATGTCAGTGTTGTATATATATATATATATATATATATTTTTGTAGTTATCAAAGAAATTTGAAGGCAGTGCTTTTTTTCCCCATTTATAAATGCTATTTCATCTTTCCTTGTTCCTTGAACACATGTGCACTACAGCTTTTATTTGTGTGCATTGTGAACAGAATGCTATATTTTTGAAGCTGTTTCTATGAATGGGCTGGAAAGGAAGAAATAAAGATATTTTGTGTAACTCTAATCAGTGTGGTGTTTGATATATTCTCTTGTGATATGCCCTTAATTGTCCCACAGAGGGGAAATGTACATTCTGCATTTGACCCATCCTACTGTAGGAGCAGTGTATGGAACAGTGCCTTGCTCAGGGACACCTCGGTAGTCATTTTCAGAGTAAAAAAACAGGGTTGAGAAGGTTTAAAAGTGTATTAAAAGTGTAAAAAAATTAACATTGATTTATATTCTTATAAATATTATTTTAATATTATTATATGACTTATTACCTGTAAAATAATGGTAATCAGTAAACTAATCTGAGTTTCACAGTATGATGCTTTTTGGGGGTTTCCTTTTCCTGTCGTTTGTTACATGTTTTTGTGCATGTGAATGGTCTGAAAAGGATAAAATACCAAAGTTGAAGATAATAGGACCCCTTTTAGTAATGTTCCACTAGTTTTGGATTACCTCCATTTTAAATGGAATGAAAAATAAATACAAGAGGAACAATGTGTTTTACTTAAGTGTATTACATTACATTGCATTTAGCTGACGCTTTTATCCAAAGCGACTTACAATAAGTACATTCGACCAGGAAGACACAACCTTGAAGAAAACAGAATCATATAAGTACATCAGGTTTCATAGAGCCAAACATTTCAAGTGCTACTCAACTGGCTTTAGATAAGCCAGTCCTTTATTAGTATAAAAGTGCTTCGTTAATAGTTCTAACGCTCGAAGTGGAGTCGAAAGAGATGAGTTTTCAGTTTGCGCCGGAAGATGTGCAAGCTATCTGCTGTCCTGATGTCAATGGGGAGCTCATTCCACCATCTTGGAGCCAGGAGAGCAAACCCACGTGTTTTCGCCGATGGGAACTTGGGTCCCCCTCGCAGCGAGGGCGCAACGAGTCGTTTGGCTGATGCAGAGCGTAGTGCACGCGCTGGGGTGTACGGTTTAACCATGTCCTGGATGTAGGAAGGGCCAGATCCATTCGCAGCATGGTAAGCAAGTACCAGTGTCTTGAAGTGGATTCTAGCAGTTACCGGAAGCCAGTGAAGGGAGCGGAGGAGCGGAGTGGTGTGGGAGAATTTAGGAAGGTTGAAGACCAGACGAGCCGCTGCATTCTGGATGAGCTGCAGAGGTCGGATGGCACATGCAGGTAGACCAGCCAGGAGGGAGTTGCAGTAGTCTAGGCGTGAGATGACGAGAGCCTGGACCAGAACCTGAGTCGCTTTCTGAGTCAGCTGGGGACGTATCTTCCTGATGTTGTAAAGCGTGTATCTGCAGCAACGGGTTGTAGCAGCGATGTTATTATGCAAGAAAACAGAACAATGTAACCTTAGAAAAGAAGAAACCTGCCTTTCATTAAGCACATGCTGGCAGCAGTTTATATATAATTAAATGAGTGCATTGTAAGATTGTAATCCTGCAAGTAATCCCTATTTTTTGGTTGGATCAATGTTTTTGTAACTGTTAGGGAATACAGTTTAATTGTTTTGAATGCTAATTACGTAATCTTGTTACATGTTTTCTGTTACTCCCCAAGTCGGTAAACGACCTTCAGTTCACTGAGGATCTGTCCCTTGTTGTGAGTGATAATATCTTTAGTTTCCGGAAGTTCGTACCCCCTCGTGAGCTCTGAACTGCCAGGCTCTTGTGCAGCACATTTCCAGTAAACATCCCGATGAAGGAGGAGAGGAAGAGATTACATACTTCCCACACTTCCATGCCACTAACTGCTTCCCATTAGAAGCTTTTAGGATTCCCAGCTGGGACACATTGCTGCATGTTGTCAGCAAACAGGCCCACTTACATAAAGTCAATTATAATGTGCACTATATTGGTCAAAGGACTCAGATGTTATAGTGGTTTTACTGTAACCTGAACTTTCTGATACCTCATTCACACCAATGCAACTCCGGTTCAAGCTCCGTGCTAGAACTTTTCAGGTTCAGAACCGGTTCTTCAGTTTAGCTCCGTTTCTTTTCACACTGCCCAGAGTCCGATTGGTGCTGCGTCATTGCGTCATCGTTTGCGTGCCTGCTTCATAAAGCCAAACCGCGCGGAAGCCCCTCACAGCTGACATCGACAACAACAACAATGGCCGATTGTGCTCCAGCTTCCTCTGTACCTCTTCGGAAGACCAGATTCCCAGCAGGTAGCTGGTCTCTTCAGTGGACCACTGCTGCTTGTTACGTTTCTCCATCGTTGTGTACAAACTGGATAAAACGCCGGCTTTTTGTTGTTGTTCAGGAGTTGATCCCGCCCCTGCCCCCGCCTCGACGTAAGCGTGACGTATGTGGTACTTTTGCTCTGGCCGGACAATTTTTTGGTGCTTGAAATGAGCTAAGAGGCTGCTCCGCTGCGGTGTGAACAGGAAAACCCGGTGCTTTTCAAGCTCCAGCTCCGAACTGGCCCTGAAACACCGTTGGTGTGAATGAGGTATGAGAGACTTACAAGAGAAAAGCATACCAGCTTCAAATGTGATGCTGCAGAAGGATTTAAATAATTTGATTATATTGTCATGTATTGTCAGATGTTTTCTGGGCAGATGTATTTCTAACTTCACCCTAATACGACGCAGTGTTAGACAATCATTTGGGGAATCCTCAAAGAGCTATTGATCAGTATAAGCCATGGACAACAATAGAGTAATGACAAATAATATAGGTTGGAATAAATCAGGGTACATTTTGTTCCTGCAGACATCTGAACTCTGACATGTTTTATTCCTCTGGAGGCCAGTTGTTAGTTCTTTGACAATGAATGATGACAAATGTGTTCATGTTGCTATATGTATGTTTAACAGGCTGTTTGGTAAACAGTTTTGCAACCAAGGATTCTTTTTAATTATCTATGAAGCCATATAATTGTGTCTTGAATGCTTGGATTCAGTTGAGTATAAAAGACAACATCCAGTTTAATGTTATTTTATCTTCAAATACACTGTTTTCATAAATCAGCAGTCAAATCAATCAATAACACTTTGCTCATAACAAATGTTTACAATGTCCTAAAACACGGGCCTTAGCTAAGAATACTTAAATGACCTTAACCCATAAGGACCCACAGTGACACGGGCAGGGGCGGACTGGGGGGAAAAAGTGGCCCGGGGATTAATTGACAGACAGGCCCACTTAATGTGCGGCATGTATCGGCCGGTCGGCGACGAAAGTATGTTACTTAACAAAAAACCCTATGCATTTTATGTTATTTTGGACCATTATTCATATAGTAATCACATTACCTGAGCCCTTGAGTTGCCTAGAGCAAAATAGTTACAGCATATATTTAGTGATTTTAATGTTAACAGATCAGTGATGCAATAACATTTGGACCCAATTTGCCTGACACATGGAATAAAACATGGGCGTAGGCAACATCCTCAATATGGGTGAGACAATTTAACACGGGGTGTGGGCAGGTGGTGGACCTCACCTCCCCTAGGGGGGTCTGGGGGCATGCTCCCCCGGGAAGATTTTTTTTTTAAATGTTGAAGTTAAATGCATCAATCTGGTGCACACACTCCAGGGAGTGGCCGGAACACTTACAAATGTGGGCCGGTAGGATTTAGGCAGGATTTAGGCCCTCCGGCCCACGCACAGCACCGGCCCACCGGGAAAACTCCCGGTATTCCCGATGGCCAGTCCGCCCCTGGACACGGGTGTCACATGCACTTTAAATGTTCTGGAAAGTTCCTTATTCAGCTTTAGCCTTTATTTTATCTCATGAAGTCCCTCAGTGACACACCCTGAACAGTCTGGGGGGTCCTGGGCCAGGACATGTGATTTTGTGTTCCCATGACAACATGTCCAAGATGGCCATGTGCCAGACTAACACATGTGACATAACGAGCTACATTTCAAAAGCTTTTTTTTGTTGCTAAAGGTAACATTCAAACCATTTAAGAATTAAAATGCTTACATAACATGTCCTTTATTACATTGAACCTGTTGTGGAAACATTTATTGAACAAATTGATATGAAACAAATGAGACAAACATCGGTGTGACATCGGGACTTTAACCCTAAACTTTCACAGTAAACCCAAAGTGACATATATGCACAATTAGAAATATGATTATGATCTGCTCAGTTAATTTAGCTGATTCAATTATATTGAGTTAATATGTTCTTATTCTTCAATTCAAAGAATGTTCAAACTAATTTAAACCAAAAAAAATCATCCTCGTTAATGAAGTTATACAGTATGAGTTATTTTACCATTAAAGCCCAATGTGACATATATGTCACTTTTCAGATATTTGACTCTAGGGGGGGGTTACTTGTCAGAAATGTGTTCTAGGTGGTCTATTTAATCTAAATTATGTTCCCCTTAATTTTCCCAAAAGTAGAAATGGGTCCGGGTTCTTATGGGTTAAATTAAATCTATGATTTACTCATCAATGGTACACTGTTATTTTCACATACACTTATTACACAGATATCTGAATGTGTGCTATATATTTTTTTGATGGCAGTGACGCAATAATTGGAAATAAGGGAGACTTTTGTGATATCTCTGGGTACCCTCAAGTTTTAACCTTACACAGGCTTGAAACCCTGTGCTAGCGTTAAGGGGCATTTACACTTTTAACATGCTTTTCATTTTGGTCTTTAATGGTGGCTTGTTGTAACTTGTTCTTGGGGGAAGGGAGCAACAACTACGACATTTCCACAGTGCATCAAATCTATATGAAGCTCAGCGCAAGTTCAACCAGGAAGACCTTCTTTACTCATTCATTTCGCTTAATGGGCTGGCCCCTCAGTACATCTCCGACCTCCTAAAGGTGTACACCCCCTCAAGGGCTTTGAGGTCGGCTGATCAGCTGCTGCTGGTAGTCCCTAAAACCAAGAAAAAGACCAGGGGAGATCGAGCCTTCTCAGCGGTAGCCCCCAGGCTCTGGAACGACCTGCCGCCCATGTCAAATTGTCGCCCACCCTCCAAATTTTTAAGACCCGTTTAAAGACCCACCTCTTTTCCCTCGCTTTCGAGTCAGTCTGAGCTATGTTTTATCAATTGTTATGCTTTTATTGTCTGTCCATAGCCTGTATGTACCGTGTATTAATTCTTATGTGTGCCTTTTATCCTTTTATCTTTTCTTATGTGTGCTTTTGATCTATTATTGTAATATTATATTTTATTATAATGTTATGTTTGGTGTGAAGCACTTTGGCAAACCCTCTGTTTTTATGTGCTATACAAATAAAGTGGATTGGATTGATTTACTATGTCCATGTTACTACTCTCTCTCCTCTCAATAAGTGATCGGGGCTCCCCAGCTTAACCAATCACTTCGCTCTATTCTCACAAGCCTATCATAGCGCTCCGCTAACCCTTTTAAATCTGCTCTCCCCTCTGACAGCTGACATTTCAGGTGACTCGACGCAACCCCCCTCCACCCCTTTTCACCTCATGTCCCTCTGAATCCAGGGTCAAGCTAAGCCCCTCCCCTTCAGAACGAACCCAACCATCTATTCACCACCACCAGGGTCTAGACCCCAGGGGGGTTTCATCGCATCGGTTCTCCCCTCCCGAATGACACTCCTGCACAACAGAGCCTAATCGCCAAAACTCCATTTGTGTATTCCTGGCAATAAATATGTATTCTTACATCAAAACCGTCTCTCCTGATTGAAATACTAGTGTATCTTATATAACATGGGTTTGCACAATGCCAGGACTTGTGTGACGTTTAATGCTACCATTTCCTGGTACTTTAGCAGTAATGGTGGTGTGGGGTCACATTACAAAGGATGTTTGTATTTAGTACAGAAGCAGCTGCCTTAAAGGTGGGGGAGGTAATTTGAAAATACACAGCCGGAAAAAATCTGCCACTTCCTTACAGAGCCCCTCCTCCAACACACACGAACGCGCACATGACCAATGAGGGCACGAGATAAGTTTGTGCACAGATGGTAGGCTGACAGGCAGGTAGGCCATCCAGTTACTTTAGCCGGCTCAGATGATTGGTCGTGCTTTTTACAGCGCCACGGCTTCCACAGATGACATTTTTTATGGATTTATTGTCAAAGCTTTTCATGTATTCATTGCTATCGGGGTGTTAAGAGCATTCCATGGAATATAACAAAAAGTGTTTCTGAAATAAATTACATACCCCACCTTTAACTAGAACACTTTTTCAGCATTTATACTGATTAGGTAACAACATGTACACTTGATCAGGGTATATGCAGGAATCCTGAATGTAATACCTTTTAAGACCCTTTCCATACATTTTAAGACCTCATCGCCACTTTGAGTTTTAACCGGTTACCTTGGCGACACACTTTACCTCACATTGACTATATACAGTATTGATTGTCCTTCCTCCTTATCTTCCAACCATTTGGACGCAGACTTGCATTTCCCCCATAACGATGTTGTTTAACAACCGGCGTAAACGGACCTTCACGCTATCAAGCAGTGAGCGCGCGATGTCCTGTTCAGATGACGTCAAACCCAACGGGATGCCATAAATAAACTACACAGAATCACTACACACCTACGCAATGATTACATTCAGGCAGACTGTAGAACACAACCTCTTTGGACCATTTATATACTTAATGAAAACAAGCTACAAAATGTTATACCTTGGAAAATGCCGTTTAATATTTTTTAATAGCCTTCATTTTCGCTAAATTGATTTATCAACTTCTAATACTTTTTAAGACCCCACGGACCCCCTGTTGATGTGAACGTTACTTATTGCCTTGTTTACATCAAGTCAAGTGAGCTGAGACATCTTTAAACATCATTCGTTTTGAAATCGCAGCATCATGGTGCAATCTTGTTTTTGAATGCAAACAGATCTGTGTATAAAGTGTGTTTTTAAAGCGGGTCTGTTGGGCACTACAGCAGAGCTATGTGAGAGCTGAGGGAGAAACACACTCATGAAGCTGTTTGACTGCATTCAGCTCACGTAAACAGAGTGTTTGCTTCAGGTCAACTAATGTTGTGTGGAGCAATGTTAAGTGTGAGAGGATTTCCAACCACAGAGGCAACATACATCTCACTAAACAAACACAATCTATCACAGACATCTTTGGCAGCACCTGATCGGTTTATTCTTCACTGTGGATGGAAGGATCCCTTTCCATTGCTTTCTGACTCAACTAGGCAATATTTGGTAAACTAGCTGCCAAAATATATTTCCAACTAACCAAAATACATCATGATTTTATTTTGTGAAATGTGTCATAATAGCAAATAAATTCCTGTTTAGAAATGTAATGTTTTCTGGATTTTCTACTGTTTCCTGAAGAACATTAGGGAAATATACGGCAATAATTTATACTGTTTTTAATTATTATAATTTAGAGCAATGCTTTGTAATAAAGCCACACATAGGCTACCTTGTTTCTGTCTTGGACCACAAGGACTTTTCCATTGGATTCATCAACAACTGCACCTGGAAAACAAACAATCAATGACATTAATTTCACATATTTTGCAAACACTGGTCCAAATGTTGCACTGAAGTAGTTACTTTAAAAAGGAGACCTATAAGGAGAAGTCAATTATTAGTTATTATTAAGTAAGAACCTCTGGTGAAAATCGGCCTCGTCCAATTAAGGTTTTCTCTTCACAACTCTTTTGTTAAAGGTCGATTACGTCCACCGACAAAACACTCAACTGACATTGCTCATAATTTAGACTCACACAGAATTTAAGTTTACTCCACTTCTCGAACTTAAAGGTGGGGTAGATACTTTTGGAGAAACCAGCTGGAGCTGGAGTGCGCTAGAATTTGAAAATACACAACCGGAAAAAATCTGCTACTTCCTTACAGAGCCCCTCCTCCAACACACACGAACGCGCACATGACCAATGAGGGAATTAATAAGCATTTGCTTCCTCCTACTCCCTTTCGGACACATATGATTTATTATTATTATTAATATGAAGACTTTTTTTTGTTGAATATACAAATATTACCATGAATGTGGATAAATACTGTATTATAACAATACGGTATTCTGTTTTTCACATTTGTTATTTATTGTTTTTTAATCTGTTCGAAATAAAGACTGAAAGAAAGAAAGAAAGAAGAAAGGGCACGAGATACGTTTGTGCACGAGATGGAAGGCTGACAGGCAGGTAGGCCATCCAGTTACTTTAGCCGGGCCGGCTAAAATGATTGGTCGTGCTTTTTGCAGCGCTACGGCTTCCACAGATGATTTTAAAAAAAATGTATTTATTGTCAAAGCATTCATTGCTATCGGGATGTTAAGAGCATTCCATGGAATACAACAAAAAGTGTTTCTGAAATAAATTACATACCCCACCTTTAAGTGGCTTTAACGCAAATTAAACTCCAATAAAAGTGCCACTTGGACCTTTATCTGGAGTGCCATAACATATTAGATTAGTAAAGCTGCGGGCTGCAAACCAAAACAATGAGCTCAAAGAAGCTACAATGCTACGTGAAGCTGACAATGACTGTGAATTTCGGGAATTCTTTTTGAGGGTTTTTCACAATAAGTGACCCCTTAACCCACGAGATTCATGTGATCCATTGGTGATATAAAATATTGGCTATGGCTGCTTTAACGACACAGTACATTTAGAATAAATAGGGACAAAAGTGTTCATTTTCTAAAATTACAAATCTAATAAGCTAACAAGAGCACAGCATGTTGATGTCTGGAAAAGGAGAGGACTAAGATGAAATCAAATACGTTCCTTTCCTTTTTCGAGTCTAAACAGTCTCTGTGACTCAGATTGACTTGTGAATGATGTGGACATCCCACTTCACCAGATTTCCTCCTGTTTGAGCAGCTTTTTTCAGCAGGCAGTGACTCAGAGAGACAGCTATGTGCCGCTGATGATGACAGCTCTGAAGGAGGAGAGTAAACCGGACTATTTGTTTTCTGGTTGGTCCGTCTGACTGACCCGGACCGGCCTCTTTACATGAATGTCACAGATGTGTAAATAGGGATGGGTCGTCTTGAAATCCTGACTTGGACTTTCAAGTGGAAACTGATGTCATTCCCGATCCCTGTGCCAGCTGAGGGAGGCTATCATTATGTAGCGTTCAGTCCAGGAAACAAGTGCTCATAGGAAGCAGAGGAGAACAAAGGGATTATGAATACTGAGACAGAAAGCCCAGAAGCCACCGTCACAGGAGCTGTGGGTTCTGTGGTAGATAAATTATAATACACGTGGCTTCTGAATCAAAGTTTGATGTCTTCTCTTAATTGATATTTCACGTAGGCTTCTTCTACTGCGTTCCAGTTTTTACAGTAATTGTAGGGTGCTGTGTAGGTCAGGATGAGGTCAGATGTAGAAATTGGATCACACTTGAGCTGAGTTTCACTACAGAATACTATCGAAACAAGTATTGTGACGTCTGAGACCTTGATTTTGGTTCCCTAGGCTTCCATGCAAAATTGAATTAGTTGAGGATTGATTGCTGTTTAGGTTGTGTCGGACACATCACTGGGGAGCATCGTGGGGAGACGGCATGACAAAGAGTGAAGCTTTCCAAAATGCAATTATTAAAGTTATCGTGAGTCACCAGGTGATGAACCATTAAAAACACTGACGCTGACTCAAGACATACATCAGCCAAAATCAGTCTTTAAAGAGGTTCTATTAAGTTTTCCTGTAGTGTGTTATAAAGGTTTATGCATGCAAATGGTTTGCAAAGGCTACAATCCCTGTGTCCCCCACAGAGGGAGCTTATTACCTCATTCACACCAACGCAACTCCGGTTCAAGCTCCGTGCTAGAGCTTTTCAGGTTCAGAACCAGTTCTTCGGTTTAGCTCTGGCTCTTTTCACACCGCCCAGAGTCCGACTGGTAATGCGTCGTTGCGTCATCGTTTGCGTCATGACGTAACCGTTTGCGTGCCTGCTTCATAAAGCCAAACCGCGCGGATGAAATCAGTCGCATTCATTTCTTATGGCTCTATCTGCTGCTTTTCCGGAGTCATTTCTGTGGTTTAGTTATATTCTTATAAAAAAGTGTACTCGTGTCAATAAAGGTTTTTTTAAAACACAACTGCTTCCGAGGTCGGTCTTATTTCTTATATAAGGACTGAACCATGAGTGTGGAGTAACGTTGTATCTTTCATTTAAATGAACTGTAACCTTCACCCAGGTATGTAACAGCTGTTCTCAAATGAACACGTGAAGTAAAGTTTAATATTTATAGTTTTATAGATTTATAATGAGTTATAATGAGAGGTGATCAACGTGAATGCTCAGGTTCCACCTTAACACGCAGACACGTTGCTTCACCATGAGCAGAAACCTTTATATATACAGTCTATGGCTGAAACTCTTGTTAAGTTTCTCCATCGTTGTGTAAACTGGATAAAACGCGGGCTTTTTGTTGTTGTTCAGGAGTTGATCTGTCTCTGCCCCCGCCTCGACGTAAGCGTGACGTATGTGGTGCTTTTGCTCTGGCCGGACAATTTTTTGGTGCTTGAAACGAACCGGATTCCGGAGCTAAGAGGCTGCTCCGCTGCGGTGTGAACAGGAAAACCCGGTGCTTTTCAAGCTCCAGCTCCGAACCGGCCCTGAAACACCGTTGGTGTGAATGACGTATATGTAACACTCGTGCTTCTATTGGCTAGCGCTCCAACATATGATAAGTGTCTTAGAGGCGGGACATCTCTAAGTGGTTGACCAATCACAACAGAGCTGGCGGAGTGAAGACAGAATGCTTAATTTCACATTTTATTTGACTTATTACTTTATTTCAGACTCTCCAGTCACCCTAACCGTGTTGCATCCCAAGGTAAACACAGCAGCACAAGTCAACCTGCATATTTAATCCTGCAATATGAACTTTTAATTATCAGTATGTAAAAATAGCTACTGTTTACATTTGGGTTCCTCTGAGGCTCGTGTTTCCTTTACCACTGCACGTCATTGTTAAGCCTTTTCTGGCAGAGCCCCTTTAAAACCGACTCTAAAGTGATAATACGTCCATTTATAGGAGTATTGGCCTCAATTTCAGCAATATGAACACCCACATTGGTCTCGTTGAAGTAATAGTACAGAATGTTAAAACTCTAGGGTCTCTGGAGGTCATTAGACACCAAAACGAAGACTTATTATTGGATGACTTCTCCCGTGTCAATGCAGTTATGTCTCAATTGATTTTTCAATATGTGTGGTCCTCTTGTCTATTTAACAACAACAAGCTGCAAGTAACCGGGCAAACCAGTATCAGTATTATCCAAACAGCTGCATATTTAAAATTCCTATCCTTAGTTTCATTATTGGCGACAACAAATGGAAATTCTGGACCTCTTCTGTGCTGAAGGATGCTCTGGACATGTTCTGACATGCTTGAAGTTCATCCTCTCTTAACAGTTATAAAGACACTCTGCCCTCTGCTGGATGATCAGAAACTCACACACTTCAGGCCTGTAACTCCTCCCTCTGTTAATCCTCTCCCACATTCACGCCTGATGGATTTCTGTCTATGAAAGTGAAAAGGGCCAAAGTTGAAAAACACACAACAGGCTGACACAAAAACAAACCTCTGATCCACGGATGTTTCCCGTTTGAAACCCCATTGCAGGTCATAGTTTACCACAGATTTATTTGGCTCCTTTTAAATGATTTTGAAGTTGCAACATATTAGATACGAAGTGCGAAAACATAATAGATTTCTGACCTAAGGTTAGAGATTTGTTTTTCTAAATGAGACTCAGGAAAAGGGAGGTAAATACTTTAGATACTGAAAAATGAAACGCCAATTGCCCAATGTTTGTTCTTATTTTGAAGGTTTTTTATCAATTGTGTTTGATTTTCCATATTTTTATCCTAATTTTGCATTTCTTTCTCTGTTTTCATGTCCATTGAATGTCTATTTTCTCTTATTTTAAAGGACTTAGTGCTGCATTTCTTGTATGGAAAGTTCTATCCAAATCAAGTTTAATAATAATAATTAGTAATTCACTTCAGAAACACTTTTTGTGATATTCCATGGAATGCTCTCAACACCCCGATAGCAATGAATACATTAAATGCTTTCACAATAAATCCATAATATCATCTGTGGAAGCCGTGGCGCTGTAAAAAGCACGACCAATCATCTGAGCCGGCCCGGCTAAAGTAACTGGATGGCCTACCTGCCTGTCAGCCTTCCATCTGTGCACAAACTTATCTCGTGCCCTCATTGGTCATGTGCGCGTTCGTGTGTGTTGGAGGAGGGGCTCTGTGAGGAAGTCTGAAGGAAGAGGCAGATTTTTTCTGGCTGCGTACTTTCAAATTCTAGCGCACTCGAGCTGGTTTCTCCATTCTTACCTACCCTACCTTTAATACGGCAGTTAATTGAGAGATTTTTAAGCGCAGATTATTTTCACTATTGTTGGTTAATTTTCTGTTTATATAGTCACATATTAGGCAGTTTATTTAGTCAAAAAGGGTATTCTAAGTACATCAAATCTTGGGTATAAATAACTACAAGCAGCTATGACTGTTTGCACAGACATTCGGCACTTGGAAGCACAAACAGCTCAATGAAGGTTTGGTTTGACAAGAACATTTCACTCAAGGTGAATTCATCTGTGTTCAGGCCTGTTTGCTGCATCTTTCTGATAAAGACTGTGAGATTCAGCTAAACGCTCAATGAAAAGAGTGTAAGTGGACCTTTGGGTAACATTCATATTTGTCAAACTACTATTTCTAAAGTCAGGAGGCTGCATTCCCTCCCCCCTGCCCCCGTCTGGACTTTAACACCCCACACACACTCAGACACTCAAATCCAGCAAGACACTTTTTTACGTTGCTATGGACAATCTTGCACTATGTACATTTCCCAAAGATATTGAAGTGACTGTTATTTATATTGATTGTTGTGCTTGTATTTATGTCTTAATGTATACATGTGTCTGTTGATTGTGTATATTTGTATTTTTGTATTCGGGATTGTGGGAAACGGTATTTCGATCTCTCGCCTGTACACACAAACTGAAAGATTGACAGTAAAGTTAACTTTGACTTGACATGGAAGAATGAACTTGTAGGCTATAAATCTCTACCTGCCACTCCGATCTGGTGGGTAGCAAACCCCGGCAGCCGGCTCTCTTCCTCCCCCAGCCAGAGGGAGAGCACCGTGTGGTCGTGTTTGGCGTGATGGAAGGAGAAGCCGTGCTCAGAGGCAGCGGCGGCACATCGGCTCAGGGAGATGGGAACTCGGAGCCACACTGCGACTTTCCCCTCCGATTTCCACTGGACCAAAGAATCTGCAGAGGTCAAAAGTTCACAAGGATGGACACACTTTCAAATGCATTATTGAAGATGTCGCTGCTATAAAAACAGACAGGAAGTATGATTGATGCCTAATCTTATTCTGGGGGAAATGGGAAGAGAGAAGATGACAAACAGCAGAGACACTTTAGTGGGCCTGAAGGGAAAGGAAACATTTAACCAATTTAGCAAAATACCCACTTGCACTTATTTCAGAAGTTAACAAATGCCATTTATAAACAAAACAAATACAAATGTATTTAGCTGCTTCCAGTTAGTCTATAAACATTTTTTTTTTTTTATCTGATCCCTAATTAATTAGGTTTAGGTTTTGGACTGTTATTATTTAAGGCTGCACGATAATTCGAAATGTTATTTAGGACTAGTGCGGGAAGCACAATATTGGGTGAAGACAAACTATTCAATTCAATTCAAAACCTTTATTTATACAGATAAAACCCATTGAGATCATAGACCTCTTTTACAATGGTGACCTGCTTCAATTAGTTCCAAACATTAATACAAACATGACAGAAAACAAAGGACATTATATGATACTACAGTTTGTATACTAGTAGCATTTATAATATCTGAATGAAGTGTTGTTGTGCTGCAGAGAAGTCCTCGCCTACAAACTGTATTTCATGGGCTTAATCATTTAATTATTTATTTAATGATAATGTGAATAATATTTCAAAAATATTATATCCCAATCACAATATCAGTTAATATAATTGTAATTATTATAGTCTAAATCAAGCAGCCCTACTAATAAGACACAACTAGCCATTCAAAGACTCCACTTTGGGAACTTGTAACATACATTATCAACATTTCTTGTATTTCTATTACTAAACAACTACTGTATTATTATGACAGTTTGTTTCGTATGTTGAAAGATCTAAAAATCGACATCTCTGACAACACCTAGTGTATAAATCAAACATTGACCTGCAGATGCACTGGAAAGAAACAATTAGCTGAGATATAAGGGGCATGTAAGCATAAAGCACAAGGGAAACTCTATAGCAATATTTCTGATCATGCAGCCTTCTTTATAAAGTCCCAGGAAGTAATATTATAAGGCTCGCTCACTATTCTAGTTTATCAATCAATGTTTATTTATATAGCCCAATATCACATGTTACATTTGTCTCAGTGGACAGTTTGTACAGAATATCAGTATGACAATACGACACCCTCTGTCTGATTAGTTGCTGCAGATTTCCGAGTTGATGACATGATGTGGATGAATCTCATTCATACTTTACCTTTCAGTAATCTACTGAATGATTTCTCACTGATGTCCTCCGGTAAACAGCTGTCAGACAGGTTCACTGTCACTCCACCGAACCGGTCCTCTCTCCCGGTCAGAGCCCCGGACCCTTGAGCTCGAGCTGCAGTGCACGAGAACGCACGGAAAGCTGGGCGTGCACGAGATGAAGCTCTGCAGCACACTCTTCCTCTCACCAGCGGGAAAAACATTGAAGCAAAGGCACAAACAGCCATTATACTACTTTAACATAAACAAGTGTTTAATGGGAGAGAATAGTAGTTGTTCTTTTAACCGGCATGTGTGTTCCGTAAAGTACAGTTACGTAAAGGTCCGCCCCGGAAGTTGCATAATAACCGTAATGCTTGGATTAGCTGGCTTCAAATCACTGCTTTGGTAATGTGACGAACTGCATTCATTCACACTTCCGACAATTTAGCCAAGATGCAATATATCATTTACACTATACATACAAACAAACATATAAGGAACATTAAAAACACTTAAAACAATCCTGTCCCAGAATAAAAATGCATGATGAACATGATAAAACAAAAAATAAACGAGATATGTAAACAGCAGGGTGGAGTATGGTGTATTAATAGATACATAGGCCTATGCATAATAATAGATAGATATAACACTATGAATATGAATGTAGTAGGATGGGTACAGTGTACAACAATAAAGTGAGTGTGAGGGGAGGGGGCAATGTCTGATGGCCAGTCATTTAAATCCAAATTGAACCTTTAACAATTATGAAAACATATAAGCCGAATGTAATACTCCATCGTTATAATGTTTTAAGTATCTTTAAAAATGTTGAATTATGTGTTTCTACTTCCTGGCAACATATAAACCTTTAAATTATATGATTTTTCTATTGAATTTGGCATTACTTTTTTGGTTTCATTCTTTAATTTTTACTCGGAAACACGTTTTTTTTATATATGCCGAATGAAAGACTGCATCTGTATAATGTATTTTATAGATTTAAACAAATTGAATAACGTGTTTATACTTCTTGGCAACAAATACAACCTTCAATTATTTAAAACATCTATTGAATATGGCACAACTTTTTTTCTAGTTTCAGGATCTTGTAGTTAATTTACAAACCAAGGTTTAAAGGGGGGAAATCCCTGATTTTGTTATTACATCTCGTACTTTCACGTTACAATCCAATACATAAAAAGTCAAATGTTTAGTCAAAGGTGCATTTCGGGTGTTTACGGTAAAAGAAGGCGGGACTAAACTCTAACCAGGAAGTTTACAGCAGCGCTCCGTGTTTACACATGTCTGTGTGCTCACGTGGGGGATCTTTCCAATATTAAAATGTCTTCAAAGAAAAATAAAAGCAAATCTATAAGATTGAGTGAGGGGGACAGCTCCCTGCTACTGAACGAGGGGTCCAATGACTCCTCCAGCCTGCAGACATCCCGCAGCGATGGAGGAAGCTGCAAAAGTTTGAACTGCAACTCATTCATTGTCAACGATTTCATTGATAAAGGTAAGACTCCTGGGCTTAAACAAACACAAGAGTTCAATAGTAGTTTGATAAAGGTGAAACGTTAGCATGTGTGAATGCATCAGCAGGTTAACAATCTGCAGATAAAGAACCGCTATGGCCCCTGTTGCCCTCAGAGATGCTGCTGATGCTGTTTAACTGTAAAGTGCTGTCAGTAGGAGACGACGGAGACATGTTTCTGAGTTTTAGCTCAAGCAGATTGGTTTAAAATGAGACACTGACTGAGGCCACACCGGCTGTCAGGTTTGGGGGTATTTGAGTGTTTGCATGCATATTTAGTGACATACAAGTCATGTTTCTTCCAAGTCTTGGATGAAATAAATTACATTACATGTTACTTGTTAGACGCTTTTATCCAAAGCGACTTACATATTCAGGACAATCCCCACAGGAGCAATTTGGGGTGAAGTGCCTTGCCCAGACATGCTGACTGCAGTGGGGTTTGAACCTGACCCCCTGATCCGAACACCAACGCACAACCAACTGCACCAATACTCTCTGTGTGTATTTTTTATCAGCAAAGGAATGCTGTCAGTGTCAAGGTTGTGTCATACATATAAGACTACACAAATTAAACTTTCTTTCCAAAGTAAGACTCAGTTCTGTACAAAAGGGGACTTTATTTGGTCTTCCCCTGCCTCTAGGCTATTAGGTAAATCCCCTTTTGGCAAGTATGAAAAGGGGGGATGAATACAGCCAGAACAATCACTAGGTTCTTAAAAGTTGTTCACATCTCTACTTAAGCGAATTGTCCCGCTGCTTACAGACAACAATGAATGAATCTCTAAACCCTTTATCCACAACACAGGTTGTTTCTTGTCTGCAAGACCACAACTCAAATGCTAGTCAAACTTAGCATTTTCTTCACCATTGTCAGAGCAGTAACTAGTGCTTTAGTTTGTATGAATTACGTTTGAATGCCGTACTTTTATTTGTGTATTTACTTTATATATTTGTTATCTTTCCTCCCAGCTGATGACAAAACACCCAAGAGTTGCAGATCGACTTTAGTCCAACTCAGCCTGAACTCAATGAAGTCAGCCAGTGTTTGCATCGGGAGGCCGGTCCTGCTGACGAGTCCCACCGGACAACAAGAGGTCTCTCTCCTCTCATCAGTTTCTATATCAGATATTTGTGAACAATTGTATCTTTAAATTCCACTGACTAACATATTACATGGGTAATGCAGTTTGGCATGCCTTCAGTTCTTCTTATTTCTGACCTTTTGACTTGATGTGAATGATGTTGCTATTATTTATCTCTTTTCTTCTGCCTTCCAGGTGTGTTTAGGATGGCCGGTTGCCACGTTTCCTAGTGGTAAAGTTGGTCTTCAGAAATGTGCTCAGAATAACCTCAGGGTGAAGTCAGGAGGAGAGGTGATGCTGCACCCCATCACCGGTCCTGTGCTTCAGGCTGTGGAGGTGGTTCTCTCCAACAGGTAACCTGCATGTGGCTCTCACTGACCTAAAATACACATTATATTAAAAATGTCATGTTCACACTATACTTAGTTATACAACATTATAGGTATTTTATTCTCAGTTGCTAGTTCATTAGACACACTTATCTAATAATACTAATGCAGTCTTTTACAACACTACTTCAAACAACTATATTATGAGATAGGAAAGTCGAAATAATGAGATAAAATTCATTATGAGATACTTTGTCACAACAGACAATCCAGCAGCTCTTTGGCTCGAGTTCTCCTATTTATCTTGACACGGAAATGGATTGTGAGTACATTGAGGACTACTTTAAACGTGGATTTACAACAGATGAAATACTTAATTTGCTTGCTGATTCACATGGAGTTGTACTAAGCAAACGCACCCTTGAAAGGATTTTAAGCAAGAAGCATCCCTGGCGTTGAAAGAATAAAACCGATGTGGCAACCTTCATTGAACAGCAACTGGAAACATCTGGTCAGTGTCATGGTTACAGATGGATGCACCAAAAATGTTGGTTACATGGAATTGTGACTGACAGAGAAACAGTGTGACTACTGCTACAGTTGGTGAAGGTGTTGATCTGGTGTTAAGAAATAGACTGCGAAGGCGCATCTACCACAGCTGTGGTCCAAACTATGTATGGCACATTGATGGTTACGACAAGCTTAAGCCATTTGGAATTGCAATCAGTGGATGCATTGACGGGTTTTCCAGAAATCATGTGCACTTCTTGATAAATGACTTTTTATCTCAGAATTTCGACTTTTTTTTCTTTCTTATAATGACTTTTTTTTTTAAGTGGCAGAAATGGGCTTCCATACATATGCACAAATCACATATCCACAAATCATATAATGCTGCATTATCTATTGTATTTATGAAAGTGTTATTTAAGCCCATTTCAAATCACAATACAAATGGCTGAATAAGTTCTATGTTAATACATCATTGTAATAATGTACAAGAGTATCAACCATAATTCCATACCTCTGAAAATGCCTTTAGTTTGTATCACACAGCTTTATGTTGTGCATCTCAGGTAAATGCTGCCATCTGCTGGGGAAATGTCCTAACTGCAGTTCATAAGCAAAACTTTCAAATAATAATAATTAGTATTGTCCGGATTGCATTTAACCACAAAATACATATATTTGTAACACTCTTCATCCACACAAATCTGTTTTTATTTAACATGATATGACATATTTATTGTTTTATAATCTGTAATTTATAAAGGTTAAAATCATTACAAATGTCTTAATGGTTAATTCTCACATGCCTATAACTTTCTTTCAGGTCAAAAGACGAGACACTAGAGACAGATGAGTTCAAGAACTTCTTACTGAGGTCTCTGGGTAAGTCTCTTTTTCACACTATTACGTGATTTGTGATATGTCGTAAATCATTGGGAACCTACAATTTGATTCTGAATTTTGACGGCTATGAAACCTGTACATTTTCCCAATTTGGCGAAAAATGAATATTGTGTCCTGGTTTTGAATTGATGTCTCCGTTCAGTTTTTGGGTGGAATAACTCTACTGGTTTGTCCGTCTTGTCCCAGTTGGGAACATCCTCCTGCCAGGAAATGTCGTCCCCTTGACCTACTTCGGCCGTTCATGCAATCTCCGGGTGGACACCGTAAGAGGGGAGGATGGAGTCTCCCTCCACAGACCATCTCCCCCCTCAGGACCCCCCCCTGACCCAGAGGAGTCCTCCGTGATGGACTCAGTGCTGGACTCCACCTCAGCCGACCTCTCCCTGCAGCTCAGCCTGCTCACTGTGGACGATAACGGCTCTGACGGGGCCCCGAGCTCAAATGGAGAGTCGGGTCCTGCAGCCAGCACCCCACGACGACCTGCCCACCTCCTCCACCTCTCCTCCCCCCCTCTCCCCCTCCACTGCTCCCTGCACCCCGTCCTCCCATGATTCTCCTGCAGAGGGGTCTTACAGTCTGGAGAGCTCACAGCAGGCTGATAGTGTCCTCATAGCTCCCCCTGGTGGAGCTCAGAGTTCGGACACCTTCTACTGCCTCTCCTGTTCCACTAAAGTCAGCTTCAGAGACCGAGCAGGGCAGGAGGACCCGGATGCTGAAGCTCAAAGGTCAAAGATCAAATACTGCATGATTGGAGGGCTCAGCAGCCAGCTGGACGTCATCAGAGAGACCATCGAGCTTCCTCTGAAACATCCAGAGTTATTCTCCAAATATGGTACGTGTTTCAGAATCAGCATCAGGTTTAAAGTACTTTCATACAAACAAGGAGTTTGCTTTGGTGTATAATGAGGACATTTTCAAACTTAAAATGGTGCATGCATAATCACAATAAAAGGAATCATTTGTAAAAAGGA